GCCTGTATCGTGGTGATGGGAATGAACATGGTAGTGGTACGCTTTCTGGTTGCGAATTTTTCTGTTTGCGCTTTTTTCGGTTTGCGCTTTTTTCTGTTTGCGCTTTTTTCGTTTGCGCTTTTTTCTCTTTGCGCTTTTTTCTGTGTGCGCTTTTTTCTGTTTGCGCTTTTTTCCGTTTGCGCTTTTTTCTGTTTGCGCTTTTTTTCCGTTTGCGCTTTTTTCTGTTTGCGCTTTTTTCCGTTTGCGCTTTTTTCCGTTTGCGCTTTTTTCTGTGTGCGTTTTTTTCTGTGTGCGCTTTTTTCTCTTTGCGTTTTTTTCCGTTTGCTCTTTTTTCTGTTTGCGCTTTTTTCCGTTTGCGCTTTTTTCCGTTTGCGCTTTTTTCTGTGTGCGCTTTTTTCTCTTTGCGTTTTTTTCCGTTTGCGCTTTTTTCTCTTTGCGTTTTTTTCTGTTTGCGCTTTTTTTCTCTTTGCGTTTTTTTCCGTTTGCTCTTTTTTCTGTTTGCGCTTTTTTCCGTTTGTGCTTTTTTTGTTTGCGCTTTTTTCTGTGTGCGCTTTTTTCTCTTTGCGCTTTTTTCCGTTGCGGTTCTTTCTGGGAAACATTTATACTAGCGTACCCGTCCCCACGCGTAAATGTGTCATCTAGTCCATATGGTCTTTGTGCTAAATTTCTCTTTTGCACATTTTTCGTTGTGTTTTTTCTGGTTGCGAATTTTTCTGTTTGCGCTTTTTTTCTGTTTGCGCTTTTTTCCGTTTGCGCTTTTTTCCGTTTGCGCTTTTTTCCGTTGCGCTCTTTTCTCTTTGCGCTTTTTTCCGTTGCGCTTTTTGTTTTGCGCTTTTTTCCGTTGCGCTTTTTTCCGTTGCGGTTCTTTCTGGGAACCATTTATACTAGCGTACCCGTCCCCGCGCGTTGCCGCGGGAATAGAAGAAAGTCCGGCGAAATATATTAGAAGGGTTTCATCCATGCGTTACCAATCATATATTCTTAGAATCGTGAAGTTGTTTTCTAAAATTAAGTTATTTAAATGTAAACAATGCCTGCGCTTGGAACATAAATATCGGGACACGTGTTTGCCTACACTACCGCATGAAAACCTTGAGTATACATTAATCACTCACCAAAATAATATGGTACAACACTTTGGTGACCGCCCATGTGTCAAGGACGTATAGGGGCGCTCTCAAAAATTATAATTATGTCTGAACATTTAGCACTTATTACACCCCTTGATAAATTAGGAAAATGAATTTTTAAAAAAGGGTTACTACAGTCCTTCACGAAAATCGAATCCAGGGCGTCCTCTGGCCCCAACAGGGTTCTATTTTGCCCCACCCCCAGGGCCTTCAAGTTAGCTTCATAGCGTATACGTTTGTTTTAAACAGTGCGATTGACTATTGATAAGAAGGGTTTCTATATTCTTTCACTATATCGAATACCGGGTGGTTCCGACGGCGCCCCGTCAAAGTGTGATTTGGCACCCCGTGCTACACTGTGAGCACTATGTGTTTATGTTTGCATTTATGTTTGTATTATTGTTTAAGTTTAGGCTTGCGTTTACGTTTTTGTGCTCGTTCGTATTTGTGTTTGTGTTTTCGTTTCTGTTTGTGTTTATGTTTGCATTTTTAATTGCGTTAGTGTTTGAGTTTTGGTTGTGTTTGTTTTTTTGTGTTTGCGTTGGTGTTTGCTATTTTGTTTGCGTATGATATTGCGTTTGCTTTAGTGTTTGCGTTTGGATTGATGTTAGTGATTGTGTTTGTTTTTGGGTTTGTGTTTGCTTTTGAGTCAATGATTGCGTTTTTGTTATGTTTGCGTTTGGGTTTTATTTTTTTTATTTTTTATTTTTTTTGGCTGGAACGGCATGTCTAAAATATAAAGATGTATAGATTCTGAGTAAGTGTGGAAAACATGCATATAATAAAAAAACTGTACTTCATCATGCAATATTTTTAAATGGTTTATAAAGAACAGCGTGGGTTCTTATATTATTTATTGGATACTTTTACTAATATTTAGGAAGCGACCCACGCTTTTCTTTATAGTTATATACATAGTAGTGTATTATATTACAATATATTTATAGAAACCTATTTAGTTTATCTTTTTAGTGTATTAGTACATAAAAGTTTGTTATTAAAACTTTTTTTATGAATTTTTTTATGGTCACGGTCATAGTGAGAGACAAAATAAACAAGTTTTTAAAAAATTAGCTCACGTTAGGATATATATGTCAAGAAATGTATTTGTGTGCGTGTACTCGTAGGTTTACGTGAGACATTACCCTTTAAAAGATGTTACAGTTGCAGTTTTTAATTAAAATACTTACTTTTATCTCGTATGGATATACATATATGCTGTATATTGCTAAATCTCGATATATTGTCCCACGTCTGTGTGTAATAAATAAATGAGCAACTGTTGTAGCATTTGTTGGTACACCAGCACGTGACGCGTCACATGTCACAGTAAACGTTCCTCTAGCCTCAACTACACTTGGGCTGACGATATCATCTCTACTACTTTGACCGTTCACTAAAACGATAATCTGTCATTAATTGCTAAATAAAAATTTATTTTTAAAATATTTTTCAATTAAAGTAATCCATCTACTCTTTTATTAGACAATTGCAACTAAATTTAACACAATTTTAACAGTTATACAAAATATTTACTTTTTTATTTAATGAAATTTTCAAACAAAAATGTATGGGAAAAGAAAAAATACAACCTTTTGACCAACACAGTATTACCATCTCCAACCCGTATAAAATGCGGTAGTTCATTTTGAAATGCAGGACTATTGTCGTCATGAAACATTAATTTTACCAAATGGCGTAGCTAAATATAAAATGTGAGTTAACCAGTCTTTTTGTTTTAAATGGAGTCTAGTCTGTGTTACAATAGACGTGGCTTTGGAAGGCAGAGGTGATGCTAGTAGGAATGCAGGGGGAGATTTGGATAGATTTAATCGAGAAAAAATAAGTTAACTCTAGTTGTCAGTAATGAGATAGCAATCATCATTAGAGGTAAGGTGTTAACGGTGTGGTCGGATGATAGAGAATACAACTGCTTACTCGAAATTCTAGTGTTTGAATTTTTGTCTCTGTCTACCCAGCTCTGATAGATGCCTGACTCACTTTAGTGAAATAAAAGACGGCTGGGCATAGTGACGATCACACTTTTCTTTCATATGTCGGGATAACTGAAACATGTGAACTCTACTTTAACTGGTACCGTTATTTTCAAAAACTCACTTTTCTTGTGCAGCTTGGTTCACTGGTAGAGCTTGCGACTGCTAACTCAAAAGTCTCGAGTTCAGATTTCGGGCTCGATGTTGTAGGATGCAACTGAGTCCACTCAGGCCAGATGGTCAGCTGATTCACTTTAGGGAAACAAAATCGGCTGGGCATTGTGCAACCCGCACTATCACCGTGTATGACGAGGTCATTGAAACAGGTGAGCTCTACTTTATCTGCCCCTTAGGTCTTGGGCACTCTGTTTATTATGAAATAACATGGACATAATACCTAACAGCCTCATATGTTTGAAGGTTTGTGTTTTATCAACGCCAAGAAGTCGCCAGTAAGGTGCTACTTATTATTACAAAATCCAAACCCTAGCCCTAACATCGCTGTACCTACGCCACTGTTTCACCACTAGAGCTCTATACTTGCCACGTCACAACATTTTATCCACAAGAAACAAATCTCTGTCTGAGTACACATCCATGTGGGTGGTTTAAAAGATTATAGGCCTAACAACGGATTAAACAACAGCTTTCAAGCAGCCAAATCCTACATGTTTTTTGAGCTAACGATACAGGCATAGTTGTTTTGTAAAGTGTTGAGATGAAGATCAAACGATATTATATATTGAATGTGGGGTTCCTTATCACAGCTTAACCAACATTCTGGTACATCACAACATAGCCATGGGACTTATCAGACAATACGGGTCCATTTTTATAGTATTCCGCTACGCAACTATGAAGTAGAAACTAAAATATTTCTCTATACTACTAAAACTCTAGTTTGTTTACATTTTTGAATATTTATTTGTGGTTTTTTTTTTTTTTTTTTTTTTTTTTTTTTTTTTTTTTTTTTTTTTTTTTTTTTTTTTTTTTTTGTGTTTGTCTGATTGACTACTGGAGAGAATCTGCTATATGCATAGAGCTATAAAATAGTATGTAGGTAGAGAACAATTTTTGTTTTCAGACTTCAGACAGACTGTTAATCTCAAATTTATTTAAAGAGGTTAATTAATTTATTGATTTATTCATTGGTGGATTTTAAAAATTAGAAAAACGACTTTACTTTGAGTGAATAGTGACGTCACATGATTTGTTTACTTTTTAGTACAATAAATGGTGGCTCCAATACAAGATTTCGTATCAGGGGCGGAACTATAGTGCCGCCAGACCCCGCAATGCCGGGGGGGGGGTCCAGGCTGTTTAGGGTCCCACGGCTGACCATAATTAATATTTTTATAAACATTTAATTTAATTTTCGTGCATTTTTACCTTGATATTTGGTTTTTAAAAGAAAAATACTGTAGCTGCGGTACGATTATCTTTATTTTACAGTCATTATACCACGCTCTTTCGCAAAAATTAAAATACATTACCCAAACTGCAGTGTAAAATATAGGCAACTCTTCAAATTTGAATGACTTCTGTGAGTCGTTGCTCCCCTTTGACAGCCACATAGGGGACACGCAACTGTGACCGATCCTCCAAAGTGTACTGTTGCGGATGGGGCAGGGGATAGGGACCAAATAGGGGGCTCGAAAATTGTCGTCAAATGTATTTAAATATTTTAAAAAGTTATTTATAATTGTATTTTTTAAACTATGGTTAAGGCCGAGTTCTATTCCCCTACAATCAAACACACACTGTCGCGGGCAAAATCTTTTTTAAAAAATAACAGTCCATTGCTTGAGAAGCCGCTACATATGATGTGGGCTTTCATGATGCGCACTTCTTCTTTGCGGTATTGATTAGGGACCCAAAATCTATTGTACATTTTTCAACGTAAATATGTGTTTGTGATAGTGGTAGAATTTGTATCCTGTACTATATTGTATCCTACAAATAATAAAAAATAATATTATACTAGAAACTTCGGTTTTAAATACGTTTACTTGTTTTTGCTTTTACAAGAAATATCATAGTAAACTTTTAGGGCCTATACTTGGAATTATCTCCCCTGCGTAAGTTTCACAATGGGCGATGCTGAGATTCTGGTACAAGCCTTTTACGTTTGTTTGTTGACCGTTAGAGCTAATATACATCCCTCGACAAATGTAAGTGCCGTCATCTGAACATCTGGCATCACGGATAACTAATTTGATTTTCATCGTGTTCCTGTTTTTTGGCTGGTCCGCTGTACCTCTTCTTAGGCTTCCTTCAAAATTATAAGTCCAGTATCTTGGCGGAATTGTGAATGGTTCAACCTAAAAACAAAAAGAAAGAAGCTGAGATAGTCCGTTTTAAATTTTATATATAGATATATGTATATATATACATATATATATACAATATATATATATATACATATATATATATACATTATATATATATATATATATATATATATATATATATATATATATATATATATATATATATATATATATATATATATATACAATATATATATATATATATATGTGTATATGTGTATGTATATATATATATATATATATATATATATATATATATATATATATATATATATATATATATATATATATACTGGTGGGGCCGGAATGAACCGCAACGGAAAAAAGCGCAACGGAAAAAAGCGCAAAACAAAAAGCGCAACGGAAAAAAACGCAAACAGAAAAAAGCGCAAACGGAAAAAAGCGCAAACAGAAAAAAGCGCAAACGGAAAAAAGCGCAAACAGAAAAAAGCGCATACGGAAAAAAGTGCAAAGAGAAAAAAGCGCAAACGGTAAAAAGCGCAAAGAGAAAAAAGCGCAAACGGAAAAAAGCGCAAACAGAAAAAAGCGCAAACGGAAAAAAGCGCAAACAGAAAAAAGCGCAAACGGAAAAAAGCGCAAACAGAAAAAAGCGCAAACGGAAAAAAGCGCAAACAGAAAAAAGCGCATACGGAAAAAAGCGCAAAGAGAAAAAAGCGCAAACGGTAAAAAGCGCAAAGAGAAAAAAGCGCACACGGAAAAAAGCGAAAACGGAAAAAAGCGCAAACGGAAGAAAGCGCAAACGGAAAAAAGCGCAAAGAGAAAAGAGCGCAAACAGAAAAAAGCGCAAACAGAAAAAAGCGCACACGGAAAAAAGCGCAACCAGAAAAAAAACAACTAAAAATGTGCAAAAGAGAAATTTAGCACAGAGACCTATATGGACTAGATTGCACATGTATACATGACTGTTAAGGCTGCTGTGAGAGTGTCGTGTTTGATCACGTGATCTACTACCATTTAAAGCATACCACTACCATGTGCATTTCTATCACCATGATACAGGCGATAATCGCTTTACACAATGCCTATTATTTTCTTGGTCAATAATTATTCAACTACTATTCTCGTATAAATAAACATAAAACTATCGACATTACACGTAGTATCTTTCACATTCTCCCTAGTTCGAACTACCTAGCTTGCATACCATAACAACCCGTTCCTATGGCAAAACTACACTCTCTTTCATCCGCGTCATCGAACATGCATTCGTCATATCTCTCGTAACAACATTCATTCGCACCAAAATAACAATTATGTATTTAATATTTTTTTCACACCATGACGCACCTACCTACTTACCTACTACCCACCTACCCACCTACCCACTTACCCACCTACCCGCCTACTCACTTACCCACCTACCCACCAAAAAAGTATCGGCGAAGTTCGTAAGTTTCGTAAACATTACTAGACATCTTTTTTTTAATGAAAATTCATTGATATTATTGACATATGTTACAAATATGTTACATTTTGCGACAACCTTAATTAGTGTGTTGGGCTTGTTTGAAAACTCACTTCGAACTAACTCAATTACATGCTATTTATTTTAACATTACACGGTAAGCGTCAGCCAACTGTTGTGATGTGAGGTGAGGACAGGTTCGACAATAAACCAACACGAAAGTACGAAAGAGACATAGACTGCCTATTAGAGAATGGACCCCTTAACTTTCCTAACTCCACCATTTATTATACCCTACCTATCCTCTAAATTTCCTGCGCTAAATGTCACTTCCCTCCCAATCGTTCCTATTCTACAGAATTGTGTGTACTATTTATCTACATTCTTTAATCTCAATATAACTAAAATAGACTTTTGTTTGAAGGGTAATGAAAACATGTAAACAAAAGGGACGCTACTCTAAAGCTATGCGAATACTTATTTGCAGTGGCGTAGGCACGGTGGGGGGGGGGGGGGGTTAGGGGGGTTATAACCCCCCCCCCCCCCTTGGACCCCTCAGTATATATATATATATATATATATATATATATATATATATATATATATATATATATATATATATATGTTAAACTGAATAACTATGTAATGTAGGGCTCTACATGAGAGGGTCAACACTACCATTATATTCTGTCTAGCCATTCAGTAGTTCATCCCAAAGCACGACGACATCAAGGTATACAAATGATTCGACAGGATGACATTAATTTGACTATTTATTGCATTACAAAGGACGACTTGAACGAACTATACTAAGACTGGACTACATTACGACATCACTCTAACACAACAAGAACAAGTGTACTTTTTAACTTCTTTCCCCGACAACAACGAACCTACACTAAAACGTCACATTCTTTCGAACCGCGTAACTATTCAATGCGTCATTAACTTTCGCACTAATATTCGTTCACACCATTCCATGTTTAAACATACATCAAAACTATATATATATATATATATATATATATATATATATATATATATATATATATATATATATATATATATATATATATATATGAGGTAATTAGGTAGGTGGGTAGGCAGGCAGGCAGGTAGGTAGGCAGGTAGTTAGGTAGGCAGGCAGGTAGGCAGGCAGGCAGGCCAGCAGGTAGTTAGGCAGGTTTGCATGGCAGGTAGGTAGGTAAGTAGGCAGGTAGGTAGGTAGTTGGCAGGCAGGCAGGTAGGCAAGTAGATAAGTAGGTAGGCAGGCAGTTAGGCAGGCAGGTAGGCAGGCAGGTAGGTAGGTAGGTATATAGGCAGGTTTGCATGTAGACAGGTAGGTAGGTAGGTTGGTAGGTAGGTAGGTAGGTAGGTAGGTTGTGAGTGAGGTAGGTTGGTAGGTAGGTAGGTGCGTCATTATGAAATAATAGTAAATACATCATTGCTATGATGTGTGTTTTATCAGGTATTTTGGTGCGAATGAATGTTGTTGCGAGAAATATAACGAATGCATGTTTGATGACGCTGATGAAAGAGAGTGAAGTTTTGCCATAGGAACGGGTTGTTATGGTATGCAAGCTAGGTAGTTCGGACTAGGGAGAATAATGTGAGAGATACTTCGTGTAATGTCGATTTCAAGGATAGTTTTATGTTTATTTATAAGAGAATAGTAGTTGAATAATTATTGACCAAGAAAATAATAGGCATTGTGTAAAGTGATTATCGCCTGTATCGTGGTGATGGGAATGAACATGGTAGTGGTACGCTTTCTGGTTGCGAATTTTTCTGTTTGCGCTTTTTTCCGTTTGCGCTTTTTTCCGTTTGCGCTTTTTTCTGTGTGCGTTTTTTTCTGTGTGCGCTTTTTTCTCTTTGCGTTTTTTTCCGTTTGCTCTTTTTTCTGTTTGCGCTTTTTTCCGTTTGCGCTTTTTTCCGTTTGCGCTTTTTTCTGTGTGCGCTTTTTTCTCTTTGCGTTTTTTTCCGTTTGCGCTTTTTTCTCTTTGCGTTATTTTCTGTTTGCGCTTTTTTCTCTTTGCGTTTTTTTCCGTTTGCTCTTTTTTCTGTTTGCGCTTTTTTCCGTTTGTGCTTTTTTTGTTTGCGCTTTTTTCTGTGTGCGCTTTTTTCTCTTTGCGCTTTTTTCCGTTGCGGTTCTTTCTGGGAATCATTTATACTAGCGTACCCGTCCCCACGCGTAAATGTGTCATCTAGTCCATATGGTCTTTGTGCTAAATTTCTCTTTTGCACATTTTTCGTTGTGTTTTTTCTGGTTGCGAATTTTTCTGTTTGCGCTTTTTTTCTGTTTGCGCTTTTTTCCGTTTGCGCTTTTTTCCGTTTGCGCTTTTTTCCGTTGCGCTCTTTTCTCTTTGCGCTTTTTTCCGTTGCGCTTTTTGTTTTGCGCTTTTTTCCGTTGCGCTTTTTTCCGTTGCGGTTCTTTCTGGGAACCATTTATACTAGCGTACCCGTCCCCGCGCGTTGCCGCGGGAATAGAAGAAAGTCCGGCGAAATATATTAGAAGGGTTTCATCCATGCGTTACCAATCATATATTCTTAGAATCGTGAAGTTGTTTTCTAAAATTAAGTTATTTAAATGTAAACAATGCCTGCGCTTGGAACATAAATATCAGGACACGTGTTTGCCTACACTACCGCATGAAAACCTTGAGTATACATTAATCACTCACCAAAATAATATGGTAGAACACTTTGGTGACCGCCCATGTGTCAAAGACGTATAGGGGCGCTCTCAAAAATTATAATTATGTCTGAACATTTAGCACTTATTACACCCCTTGATAAATTAGGAAAATGAATTTTTAAAAAAGGGTTACTACAGTCCTTCACGAAAATCGAATCCAGGGCGTCCTCTGGCCCCAACAGGGTTCTATTTTGCCCCACCCCCAGGGCCTTCAAGTTAGCTTCATAGCGTATACGTTTGTTTTAAACAGTGCGATTGACTATTGATAAGAAGGGTTTCTATATTCTTTCACTATATCGAATACCGGGTGGTTCCGACGGCGCCCCGTCAAAGTGTGATTTGGCACCCCGTGCTACACTGTGAGCACTATGTGTTTATGTTTGCATTTACGTTTGTATTATTGTTTAAGTTTAGGCTTGCGTTTACGTTTTTGTGCTCGTTCGTATTTGTGTTTGTGTTTTCGTTTCTGTTTGTGTTTATGTTTGCATTTTTAATTGCGTTAGTGTTTGAGTTTTGGTTGTGTTTGTTTTTTTGTGTTTGCGTTGGTGTTTGCTATTTTGTTTGCGTATGATATTGCGTTTGCTTTAGTGTTTGCGTTTGGATTGATGTTAGTGATTGTGTTTGTTTTTGGGTTTGTGTTTGCTTTTGAGTCAATGATTGCGTTTTTGTTATGTTTGCGTTTGGGTTTTATTTTTTTTATTTTATTTTTTTTTTTGGCTGGAACGGCATGTCTAAAATATAAAGATGTATAGATTCTGAGTAAGTGTGGAAAACATGCATATAATAAAAAACTGTACTTCATCATGCAATATTTTTAAATGGTTTATAAAGAACAGCGTGGGTTCTTATATTATTTATTGGATACTTTTACTAATATTTAGGAAGCGACCCACGCTTTTCTTTATAGTTATATACATAGTAGTGTATTATATTACAATATATTTAGAGAAACCTATTTAGTTTATCTTTTTAGTGTATTAGTACATAAAAGTTTGTTATTAAAACTTTTTTTTATGAATTTTTTTATGGTCACGGTCATAGTGAGAGACAAAATAAACAAGTTTTTAAAAAATTAGCTCACGTTAGGATATATATGTCAAGAAATGTATTTGTGTGCGTGTACTCGTAGGTTTACGTGAGACATTACCCTTTAAAAGATGTTACAGTTGCAGTTTTTAATTAAAATACTTACTTTTATCTCGTATGGATATATATATATGCTGTATATTGCTAAATCTCGATATATTGTCCCACGTCTGTGTGTAATAAATAAATGAGCAACTGTTGTAGCATTTGTTGGTACACCAGCACGTGACGCGTCACATGTCACAGTAAACGTTCCTCTAGCCTCAACTACACTTGGGCTGACGATATCATCTCTACTACTTTGACCGTTCACTAAAACGATAATCTGTCATTAATTGCTAAATAAAAATTTATTTTTAAAATATTTTTCAATTAAAGTAATCCATCTACTCTTTTATTAGACAATTGCAACTAAATTTAACACAATTTTAACAGTTATACAAAATATTTACTTTTTTATTTAATGAAATTTTCAAACAAAAATGTATGGGAAAAGAAAAAATACAACCTTTTGACCAACACAGTATTACCATCTCCAACCCGTATAAAATGCGGTAGTTCATTTTGAAATGCAGGACTATTGTCGTCATGAAACATTAATTTTACCAAATGGCGTAGCTAAATATAAAATGTGAGTTAACCAGTCTTTTTGTTTTAAATGGAGTCTAGTCTGTGTTACAATAGACGTGGCTTTGGAAGGCAGAGGTGATGCTAGTAGGAATGCAGGGGGAGATTTGGATAGATTTAATCGAGAAAAAATAAGTTAACTCTAGTTGTCAGTAATGAGATAGCAATCATCATTAGAGGTAGGGTGTTAACGGTGTGGTCGGATGATAGAGAATACAACTGCTTACTCGAAATTCTAGTGTTTGAATTTTTGTCTCTGTCTACCCAGCTCTGATAGATGCCTGACTCACTTTAGTGAAATAAAAGACGGCTGGGCATAGTGACGATCACACTTTTCTTTCATATGTCGGGATAACTGAAACATGTGAGCTCTACTTTAACTGGTACCGTTATTTTCAAAAACTCACTTTTCTTGTGCAGCTTGGCTCACTGGTAGAGCTTGCGACTGCTAACTCAAAAGTCTCGAGTTCAGATTTCGGGCTCGATGTTGTAGGATGCAACTGAGTCCACTCAGGCCAGATGGTCAGCTGATTCACTTTAGGGAAACAAAATCGGCTGGGCATTGTGCAACCCGCACTATCACCGTGTATGACGAGGTCATTGAAACAGGTGAGCTCTACTTTATCTGCCCCTTAGGTCTTGGGCACTCTGTTTATTATGAAATAACATGGACATAATACCTAACAGCCTCATATGTTTGAAGGTTTGTGTTTTATCAACGCCAAGAAGTCGCCAGTAAGGTGCTACTTATTATTACAAAATCCAAACCCTAGCCCTAACATCTCTGTACCTACGCCACTGTTTCACCACTAGAGCTCTATACTTGCCACGTCACCACATTTTATCCACAAGAAACAAATCTCTGTCTGAGTACACATCCATGTGGGTGGTTTAAAAGATTATAGGCCTAACAACGGATTAAACAACAGCTTTCAAGCAGCCAAATCCTACATGTTTTTGAGCTAACGATACAGGCATAGTTGTTTTGTAAAGTGTTGAGATGAAGATCAAACGATATTATATATTGAATGTGGGGTTCCTTATCACAGCTTAACCAACATTCTGGTACATCACAACATAGCCATGGGACTTATCAGACAATACGGGTCCATTTTTATAGTATTCCGCTACGCAACTATGAAGTAGAAACTAAAATATTTCTCTATACTACTAAAACTCTAGTTTGTTTACATTTTTTGAATATTTATTTGTGTTTTTTTTTTTTTTTTTTTTTTTTTTTTTGTGTTTGTCTGATTGACTACTGGAGAGAATCTGCTATATGCATAGAGCTATAAAATAGTATGTAGGTAGAGAACAATTTTTGTTTTCAGACTTCAGACAGACTGTTAATCTCAAATTTATTTAAAGAGGTTAATTAATTTATTGATTTATTCATTGGTGGATTTTAAAAATTAGAAAAACGACTTTACTTTGAGTGAATAGTGACGTCACATGATTTGTTTACTTTTTAGTACAATAAATGGTGGCTCCAATACAAGATTTCGTATCAGGGGCGGAACTATAGTGCCGCCAGACCCCGCAATGCCGGGGGGGGGGGTCCAGGCTGTTTAGGGTCCCACGGCTGACCATAATTAATATTTTTATAAACATTTAATTTAATTTTCGTGCATTTTTACCTTGATATTTGGTTTTTAAAAGAAAAATACTGTAGCTGCGGTACGATTATCTTTATTTTACAGTCATTATACCACGCTCTTTCGCAAAAATTAAAATACATTACCCAAACTGCAGTGTAAAATATAGGCAACTCTTCAAATTTGAATGACTTCTGTGAGTCGTTGCTCCCCTTTGATAGCCACATAGGGGACACGCAACTGTGACCGATCCTCCAAAGTGTACTGTTGCGGATGGGGCAGGGGATAGGGACCAAATAGGGGGCTCGAAAATTGTCGTCAAATGTATTTAAATATTTTAAAAAGTTATTTATAATTGTATTTTTTAAACTATGGTTAAGGCCGAGTTCTATTCCCCTACAATCAAACACACACTGTCGCGGGCAAAATCTTTTTTAAAAAATAACAGTCCATTGCTTGAGAAGCCGCTACATATGATGTGGGCTTTCATGATGCGCACTTCTTCTTTGCGGTATTGATTAGGGACCCAAAATCTATTGTACATTTTTCAACGTAAATATGTGTTTGTGATAGTGGTAGAATTTGTATCCTGTACTATATTGTATCCTACAAATAATAAAAAATAATATTATACTAGAAACTTCGGTTTTAAATACGTTTACTTGTTTTTGCTTTTACAAGAAATATCATAGTAAACTTTTAGGGCCTATACTTGGAATTATCTCCCCTGCGTAAGTTTCACAATGGGCGATGCTGACGTACATAAGCGTTTTGTTGTCTCTTTCAAGTTTTTTTCCCGAGCCGACCCCCATCCCACCCCTCTTTCTTAGCCTCGCAAGTATCGAGTAGATAAATGTATCGTTTATGAACTACTTCCTAACCGTACATTCACCACTTCAGCACATTTAGCCAGAAACTAGACAGCACAAGTCAGCAGATATTAATTTACTTGCATAGTATTAGGCACATCCAATTCACAAAACAGGGAAGGTAAGATTATTTTATATACTTATTTAGAAATAAATTAGAACGTTTAGAATTAATTGAACATTATTAATAGTCAATTACTATTTATAAATGACGTCATTGAGGTGGGTGTGTGTGGGGGTCTGGTTTTTTTGTTAGTCGTTAAAAATGTGACGTCATTTGTGGATTCCCCCCCCCCCCCCCTAAATCAAAAGTTTATCCGACGCATGATCTGGCCACATACAGTTGTACATGCGAAAAACATTTTTCTGTCTATCATGCATTGCTGCATCATTCACCCAATCGCCATGAAAACTTGGGAAGCTGTATGCAACTTGATTTACGCGTAAATCAATTTGCATAAGGAGAATCAAAGTGTTATTATATAGCACAAAAAGACATCAGTAACGTTAAGAGTCTAGATAGCTAAATTGTTAGTGTAATAGGCTATCATGCGAGTGGCACGGGCTCAAGACACATCACGTCAATGTTAAAAAAAATACAATTTGCTTTTTTCTTTAGATGTGAATGATAAAGTTGCCTATCTGAACTTGGCGGGATACAGGGCAGATGAAGTAGAGCTCATCTGTTTCTTTGTCCTAAGCATATGAAGGGATAGTGTGGTCAGAGACATGCTAGGCCGTTATAGTTTTTTTAAACGATAAAAACATATTGTCTGAGACTTGGCGGGACACTGGGCAGGTGAAGTAGAGTTGAGAAGGTCACCTGTGACGTCAGTATATTAAGGGATAGTGTGGTCAGACCCATGCTCAGCCGAAATCGGTGTTTTTAAAAGGTAAAAAACGTCTTTTTGAATGTGGGGTCTGGTTTTTTTGTAATGATTAGTGACCGGCGTGATGTCATTTATGGATGACCGACGAAACCCACAGTTATCCAAGGGATGACCGGGTAAGTCTAGTTAAATTTAGAAATGATAAAATTAGATTTGGACAACAATAAAAGACCGAATACATATTTATAAAATATTAATTCCTAACCATAGATAATAGGTGAATTAGGTGAGTTAGGTGAGTCAGGTCAGTCAGCTGAATTAGGTAAGTCAGTCGGGCAAGTGAATCCATTGAGTCAGGTGAGCCAGGTGAGTCAGGTGAGCCAGGTGAGCCAGGTGAATTAGGTGAGTTAGGTGAGCCAGGTGAGCCAGGTGAGCCATGTGAGCCAGGTGAGTCAGGTGAGCCAGGTGAGTCAGGTGAGTCAGGTGAGCCAGGTGAGTCAGGTGAGTCAGGTGAGCCAGGTGAATTAGGTGAGTTAGGTGAGCCAGGTGAGCCAGGTGAATTAGGTGAGTTAGGTGAGCCAGGTGAGCCAGGTGAGCCATGTGAGCCAGGTGAATTAGGTGAGTTAGGTGAGCCAGGTGAGCCAGGTGAGTCAGGTGAGCCAGGTGAATTAGGTGAGTTAGGTGAGCCAGGTGAGCCAGGTGAATTAGGTGAGTTAGGTGAGCCAGGTGAGCCAGGTGAATTAGGTGAGTTAGGTGAGCCAGGTGAATTAGGTGAGTTAGGTGAGCCAGGTGAGCCAGGTGAGTCAGGTGAGCCATGTGAACCAGGTGAGTTAGGTGAGCCAGGTGAATTAGGTAAATTAGGTGAGCCAGGTGAGCCAGGTGAATTAGGTGAGTTAGGTGAGCCAGGTGAGCCAGGTGAGCCATGTGAGCCAGGTGAGTCAGGTGAGCCAGGTGAATTAGGTGAGTTAGGTGAGCCAGGTGAGCCAGGTGAGCCATGTGAGCCAGGTGAGTCAGGTGAGCCAGGTGAATTAGGTGAGTTAGGTGAGCCAGGTGAGCCAGGTGAGTCAGGTGAGCCATGTGAGCCAGGTGAGTCAGGTGAGCCAGGTGAGCCAGGTGAGCCAGGTGAGCCATGTGAGCCAGGTGAATTAGGTGAATTAGGTGAGTTAGGTGAGCCAGGTGAATTAGGTGAGTTAGGTGAGCCAGGTGAGCCAGGTGAGTCAGGTGAGCCATGTGAGCCAGGTGAGTTAGGTGAGCCAGGTGAGCCAGGTGAATTAGGTGAGTTAGGTGAGCCAGGTGAGCCAGGTGAGCCAGGTGAGTCAGGTGAGCCATGTGAGCCAGGTGAGCCAGGTGAGCCAGGTGAATTAGGTGAATTAGGTGAGTTAGGTGAGCCAGGTGAGCCAGGTGAGCCAGGTGAGCCAGGTGAATTAGGTGAGTTAGGTGAGCCAGGTGAGCCAGGTGAGCCAGGTGAGCCAGGTGAATTAGGTGAGTCAGTCGGGCAAGTGAATCCATTAAGTCAGGTGAGCCGGGTGAGCCGGGTTAGCCAGGTGAGCAAGGTGAGCCAGATGAGCCAGGTGAGTGAGGTGAGCCGGGTTAGCCAGATGAGCAAGGTGAGTGAGGTGAATTAGGTGAGTCAGTCGGGCAAGTGAATCCATTGAGTCAGGTGAGCCGGGTAAGCCAGGTGAGCCAGGTGAGCCAGGTGAGTCAGGTGAGCCGGGTGAGCCAGATGAGCCAGAGGAGCCGGGTGAGTCAGGTGAGCCGGGTGAGCCAGATGAGCCAGGTGAGTCAGGTGAGCCAGGCGAGCCAGGTGAGTTAGGTGAGTCAGATGACTTAGGTGAGATAGGTGAGATAGTTGAGCCATGTAAGTCAGGTAAGTAAGTTGAGCCAGGTGTGTAAGGTGAGATAGGTGAGTCAGGTTATTCAGGTGAGTCAGGTAATTCAGGTGAGTCAGGTAATTTGGGTGAAGCAGGTAAGTCAGGTGAGTCAGGTGAACCAGGTGAGATAGGTGAGCCAGGCGTCAGGTGAGCAAGTTTATTTAAATTTTCCGTGACAAATTGTAAACAACCAAATTACTTTTTGTAAACTTACAAAAAATACTAAAACATCAAAAAACATCAAAAACATCGAATCTTAAGTAAAGTCCGTCAAAAATCAAAACTGTTATGTTTTTATAACTTTATTTTAATAAACTCGCACCAGATTTCTAAAATCTAAAATCCGAGACTACACGGCTGTGTCCATTTTAACCATCAAATAGTCCTGCTGAACATTCGCACCACAAGCGCAGGAAGTTCCAAACCAAAACATTTTCACACAAACGCGTTTTTTTCTGCGCTTCCTCTGAACAGCGTCTGTCATTTTAGGCACCATCCCGGTGGGAATTTGGTCGCGCTAATAGACTTTCACAGGTAGACTGGAACATTTTTTTATAAAATTATTGTATGCATTTTATATTTTATAAGTGACATATAATTAAATTATATTTAATTTGTCGTAAGAGATATAATTCGATTATTATGTTTGTTTTTGAATGATCGGTATGTTTAAGATCACAATATGTCAAACACACCATGCCCTAATGCTAACACTAGCCTTAGCTTAAAAATTAAAATGAGTGTACTTTATCTAAACACACCATGCCCTAATGCTATCTCTAGCCCGTACGGTTTCTAAACATATCATGCCCTAATGCTAACACTAGCCTTAGCTTAAACCTGTGTGTACATTATCTAAACACACCATGCCCTCATACTAACTTTAGCCTTAGCTTAAACCTGTGTGTACTTTATCTAAACACACCATGCCCTAATGCTAACTCTTGCCTGTACGATATCTAAAAACATCATTCTCTAATCCTAACTCTTACCTTAGGATAAACATGTGTGTAATTTATCTAAACACACTATGCCCTAATGCTAATTCTAGCCTTCGCTTAAACCTGTGTGTACTTTATCTAAAGAGAACATGCCCTAACGTTAACTCTAGCTTCAACCTAAACTGTTTCAGTTGAAGGTGACCCCAGACTTGCAGCCATGCAGAAAAACTTGATCGTCACCTGCACCCCTGATGACTACAACAAGAAGATGTTCCCACCCTTTAAGTGGTGGAATGTAGGTATCATCTTCTGCTGTATGTGTCACCTTCTGATGTAGGTATCACCTTCTATTGTAGGTATCACCTTCTGCTGAATGTGTCAACTTCTGCTGTAGGTTTCACTTTCTGCTGTATGTGTCCACTTCTAAAGCAGGTATTACGTTGTTGTGGGTATCCACTTTATGCTGTATATATCACCTTCTGCTGTATGTATCACCTTCTGATGTAGGTATCATCTTCTGGTGTTTGTATCACCTTCTGATGTATGTATCACCTTCTGATGTATGTATCACCTTCTGATGTATGTATCACCTTCTGCTGTATGTATCACCTTCTGCTGTATGTATCACCTTCTGCTGTATGTATCACCTTCTGCTGTATGTATCACCTTCTGCTGTATGTATCACCTTCTGCTGTATGTATCACCTTCTGCTGTATGTATCACCTTCTGCTGTATGTATCACCTTCTGCTGTATGTATCACCTTCTGCTGTATGTATCACCTTCTGCTGTATGTATCACCTTCTGCTGTATGTATCACCTTCTGCTGTATGTATCACCTTCTGCTGTATGTATCACCTTCTGCTGTATGTATCACCTTCTGCTATATGTATCACCTTTTCCTGTGTTTATCACCTTCTGCTGTCTGTATCACTAGTTCCTTTCTCCTATCACAAGCCCCCCCCCCTTCACCCCCCCCACACACACACACACACTGTTAACGCCAGTATCCACGTTTCAGGATACCAAAGGTAAACGTAAAAAGATTACCACCATCAGAAGGGATGAGTTACCTATCCCAAAGCTACCTGAAATCTACCCCTACAGGTACACCTCGGCGGGTCCCAGCACCATAGGCAGAACAAAGAAGGAGATGGACATCCACAAAACTCTATGTAAGTAACAGACTATTCTGAAAATAGGGGTGTAAGGTTGTTTGTCGAGTTGTAATGACAGGTTTAGTTCAGGGGCGTAGCGAGGGGGGGGGGGGGCGGCGGGGGGGTGCGGACCGCACCGGGTGACACCATTTAGGGGGGTGACACCAAGGCAAAAAATTGCAAAATATATAGAGAAAAACTCGAGGGGGGGGTGAAAATCGAAAGTTTGAGGGGGGGTGCAAATTGAAAGTTTGAGGGGGGGTGCAAATTGAAAATTTGAAAGTTTGTCCCTGGGAAGGGTCTCTATGCCTCTGGGGGGGGGGGATGACACCATTAAGTGCCGCACCGGGTGACACCCGACCTCGCTACGCCACTGGTTTAGTTAATGTTAGATTCAGAATTTAGGGCTAGGGTTAATATAGGACTTGGGTTAGGATTGAGTTAGGAATAAGATTAGCGTTAACATTGCATAATCATTGTTTTATTTAGTTAACAACCAGTAAGTTAACACCCTTTTGTTAAGAATGTTCCATTATTGCGGAATCATCGTTCATAGGTATAACACATACATACCCAACTCGACACTAACTTAGATTAGGGGAGTAGGGTCTATTACTCTTGTTGGCGTCTACTGATGTGTCTTCTGGTTTGTTCGTTGTATTGTAGTATCGGGTTTAGAGTTTCTCCCAGGCATCTCTTAGGGGGGAGGGGGATCAGAGTTCCCCCCCCCCCCCCCACCCCGAAGAATGTCTACCGCCCCCCCCCCCCTTTCCCCGAACGAAATGGAATTTATATAGAAAATATATACTTTTAACAGTGTCCGTACCCCCCCCCCCCCCCCGGAGAAAAAAGTCTGGAAGAAACACTGATCGGGTTATTGTTAGTAATATTAGATTCAGACTTTATAAAAAGGGTATGTTAGGAATTGGTTTGGGATTTAAGTTACGGATAGTGATGGCGCTATCCTAATCATGTCTTATTAGTTTATATCTAAACTCCTGTCACCTGCAATTGTTTTAAATCCTTTATGTGGGATTATCAGACTCTCTTAAGGTAAGGAGGATTGACCAGATTAGGTGTTAAGAAAAATATTAATTTAACACGAATTTAGGCCTAGGGTTAAGATTTAGGCTTCATGTAACACGCAACGTATTTGGATTATGTTTTGCTGTTTATCCTTGTGGATATTGGCACTGAAGTTAAGGTTACATGTATTTACCTTGTGTCCTCTAGTTAGCTAGTTTTATACCTCCACCGCCCCTCTCAACCAGAGGCGTAGCGAAAGGGGGGCAGGGGTACATATGTCCCCGGGCGCCGATCTTAGGGGGCGCCAAAATGGGTTGGAAAAACAAATTTTATTAAAATCTCATTTTTGCTGCATTTTTGCTTTATAAATATAAAAAATATATGGGGGGGGGGGGGGGGGGGGGTTGTCGAAAGTTCGAGAGGGGAGGGGGTGCACATCGAAAATTGAAAAGTTGATCCCGAGGGGGGCGCCAAATTGAAAGTTTGTCCCCGGGCGCCGGGAAGGGTCGCTACGCCTCTGCTCTCAACGTTACGGTGATAAAAAAATTTTGTACGAACGCAATTTATTCTTCAAAAGATTGACTCACCAGGTAGTAGGTTTTAGACTTGTATTAGTTAGCTGTATACTTTAACTAGCTGCTATGATTAAAGATAATCCCCTCCCTGCAGTGGCGTAGCGAGGTCGGGTGTCACCCGCTGCGACACTTAATGGTGTCACCACCCCCCCCCCCCCCAGAGGCGTAGCGACCCTTACCGTGTACACAAACTTTCAATTTTCGATTTGCACCCCCCCCCCCCCCCCCCTTCAAACTTTCGATTTGCACCTCTTAAAACACTATTTAACAATTAATTAAGTGGAATTACCATTTTTCTCTATATATTTTACTATTATTTGCCTTGGTGTCACCCCCCTAAATGGTGCGGTCCGCAACCCCCCCCCCCCCCCCCCCCCCGCTACGCCTCTGCCTCCCTGACCTTAGCTTTAACCCTAACGACGTCACTAACAATCAAATTTTAATCGCCTACTAATAACCCAACACTCCCTTGTATTGGAAGCTTCCATTCTCGGCGCCTGAAAAAGTGCATCAAATTTTGTGTTCGCAATGCTCTAAAGTCTATCTTAAATAATCTTCTGTTCAACCTGTTCACCCTATTTGACTGTTTTGGTATAACCCGATGTGACGTAGTAATGAGACAAGTTTCTTCGCAGTTCGGATCAAACCAAAAGTAATTGGGGAGGACAAGCTGGATCTTCACATGGTCACTCAGGTCAAAGGTTATGAGACGGTGAGTTCAAAGTTTATTCAGTAGGAGGTTTAGGTATTGGGTAGTTTAACTGAACAGGTTTAAGTTGTGGATAGTGTAATTCAACAAGTTTAAGTTTTGTGTAGTTTAAAATAACAGGTTTAAATTTTGGTTGTATAATTTAGCAGCTTTAAGTTTTAGGCAACCTGTCTATACAGGAGGTTTAAGTTTTTGTTAGTCTGTGTTTTGACACGAGGTTTACGTGTTGGATAATGTTTCAGTATATGTTTATTTATTTTTGGTAAGTTTAAAAACGTAACACATTTAATTGAGAAAAATCCAGCACTAACCCTCACTCTAACTCAAACACTAACCCACACTCTAACTCAAACACTAACCCACACTTTAACTCAAACACTAACCCTCACTCTAAATCAAACACTAACACACACTTTAACTCAAATACTAACCCACATTTTAACTCAAACACTAAGACACACTCTAACTCAAACACAAACTCCTGACTTTAACTCAAACACAAACTCCTGACTTTAACTCAAACACCATCTCCTGACTTTAACACAAACACAAACTCCAGACTTTAACCCAAACACAAACTCTTGACTTTAACACAAACACAAACTCCTGACTTTAACACAAACTCCTGACTTTACTTACAGACGAGCATGACGGCTTCTATGGCCCCCTTCATCAAAACGGTTGTCGACGATTCGATTGTCATTGGTCGAGGTATTGCTCCAGGTCTCAATGTAAGTCAATAGGTTTGGTCTGGTCAAGGTTTGGTCTGGTCAAGGTTTGGTCAAGGTTTGGTTTGGTCAAGGTTTGGTTTGGTCAAGGTTTGGTTTGGTCAAGGTTTGGTCTGGTCAAGGTTTGGTCTGGTCAAGGTTTGGTCTGGTCAAGGTTTAGTCAAGGTCGGGTTTGTCAAGGTTTGGTTTGGTCAAGGTTTGGTTTTGTCAAGGTTTGGTCTGGTCAAGGTTTGGTCAAGGTGGGGTTGTCAAGGTTTGGTTTGGTCAAGGTTTGGTTTGGTCAAGGTTTGGTCTGGTCAAGGTTTGGTTTGGTCAAGGTTTGGTCTGGTCAAGGTTTGGTCAAGGTGGGGTTGTCAAGCTTTGGTCTGATCAAGGTTTGGTCAAGGTGGGGTTGTCAAGGTATGGTTTGGTCAAGGTTTGGTTTGGTCAAGGTTTGGTCTGGTCAAGGTTTGGTTTGGTCAAGGTTTGGTCTGGTCAAGGTTTGGTCTGGTCAAGGTTTGGTCAAGGTGGGGTTTGTCAAGGTTTGGTTTGGTCAAGGTTTGGTTTGGTCAAGGTTTGGTCTGGTCAAGGTTTGGTTTGGTCAAGGTTTGGTTTGGTCAAGGTTTGGTTTGGTCAAGGTTTGGTCTGGTCAAGGTTTGGTTTGGTCAAGGTTTGGTTTGGTCAAGGTTTGGTCTGGTCAAGGTTTGGTCTGGTCAAGGTTTGGTCAAGGTGGGGTTTGTCAATCTTAGGTTCGGTCAAGGGTTGGTTTTGTCAATGTTTGGGTTTGGTCAAGGTTGGATTTGGTCAAGGTTTGGTTTGGTCAAGGTTTGGGTTTGGTCAAGGTTTGGTCAAGTTGGGGTTTGTCAAGGTTTGGTCTGGTCAAGGTTTGGTCTGGTCAAGGTTTGGTTTGGACAAGTTTGGGTTTGGTCAAGTTTGGGTTTAGTCAAGGTTGAGTTTGGTCAAGGTTGGGTTTGGTCAAGGCTGAGTTTGGTCGAGGATGGGTTTGGTCAAGGTTTGGTTTGGATTGGTTTGGTCAAGGTTTGGTCAAGGTTGGGTTTGGTCTTGTTTGGTTTAGTCAATATTGGGTTTGGTCAAGTTTTGGTTTGGTCAATGTTAGGTTAAGGTAGGTTTTGGTCAAGTTTGGGTTTAGTCAAGGTTGAGCTTGGTCAAGGTTGGTTTGGTCAAGGTTGAGCTTGGTCGAGGTTGGGTTTAGTCAAGGTTGAGTTTGGTCAAGGTTGGATTTGGTCAAGGTTGAGTTTGGTCAAGGTTGGATTTGGTCAAGGTTTGGTTTAGTCAAGGTTTGGTTTGGTCAAAATTGGGTTCGTTCAAGGTTTGGTTCGGCAAGGTTTGGTTTAGTCAAGTTTGGGTTTGGTCAAGGTTGGGTTCGGTCAAGGTTTGGTTTAGTCAGGGTTGGGTTCGGTCAAGGTTTGTTTTAGACAAGGTTGGGTTTGGTCAAGGTTTGGTTGGTCAAGGTTTTGTGTAATATTTCCCTCTGTTAGTTGTTGTATGTGGTTGATCTTTGAGTCTGTTAGATGTTATATGTGTTTCATTTTTCTGTCTGCTATATGTTGTTTGTGTTCAAGCTCTCCCTCTGTTGTACATATTTTATCTATCCCTCTGTTATACATTGTAGGTGTTTGAATTCCTCTCTTTTATATGTTGTATGTGTTAACCTCGCTATTTTCTATATGTTGTATGTGATTGATCTCTCCCTATGCCTTATATTGTATGTGATTGAGCTCTACCTCTATGTGTTTCATCTTTCCCTCTGCTATGTACGTTGTATTTGTTTAAGCTCTCTCTCTCTCTCTATCTCTCTCTCTCTCTCTCTCTCTCTTTCTCTTTTGGATGTTATATGTGTTTAACCTCACTCTCTTCTATATGGTGTATGTGTTTTACCTCTCCATCTGTTATGTGTAGTATGTGTTAACCTCACTCTCTTCCATGTTATATGTGGTTCATCTCTCCCCAATCTATATGTTGTATGTGATAACTTCACTCTCTTCTATATATTGTATGCAGAGTTTCTTCCAGGCATCTCTTTTTTACCGCCCCCCCCCCCCCCCGAACGAAATGAAATTTATATAATTTATATAGAAAATATATACTTTTAACAGTGTCCGCCACCCCCCCCCCCCCCCCCCCCGGAGAAAAAGGCTGGAAGAAACACTGATTGTATGTGCTAACCTCTCCAACTGCTATATGTTCTATGTGTTTAATCACGATCTCTCTAGGAACCGCTGTACGTCCCATTCAAATCATCCTCTAAGTTTGACAAATACATCATTGACACGCTCCATCCTGGTTGGCGTGATGACCCCTTGTATAAGAGGTAATCTTTGTTGTAAGGGGAGGGGGTCATGATGTGATGACCCCTTGTATAAGAGGTAATCTTTGTTGTAAGGTTAGGTTTAGCCCCGGGGTGGGTTGTTTTGTGATGACCCCCTTGTATAAGCGGTAATCTTTGTTGTAAGTTTAGGGTTAGCCCAGGGGTGGGTCGTTTTGTGATGACCTCTTGTATAAAAGTAACCTTTGTTCTTGTAAGGTTAGGGTAAGTCCTGGGAGGGGGTTATGCTATAGCTTGTATATGAGGACACTCTTTGTTGTAAGGATAGGGTTAGTCCCTGGAGAGGGCCGTTGCGTGATAATTAATAAATGCAATCTTCAAGGATAATGATTAGAAATGTAAACGTAAGTTCATAACGTAAGTGTGATAGGGTTTCGACACAAATAAAGCAGGTCGAGTAATTATTGAAACAGATCCCAAAAAAAGTTGTATTTTTGTAAACTTAACAGTTCAGTCTAATGAAATTTGGGCGGATGATGTTACCTTACACCATGCAATCCATGTTGCAGATAAAGTAGAGTTCGTCTTTTTATGTGACCTCGATATATGAATGGTCAGCATTATGTCCAGCCGGTTTTACTTTCCCTAACATAAGTCAGGTACCGATAGAACCTGCATGAGTTCTGGTACGTCCTACTGACTCTAGCCCGGGATCCGAACTCGAGACTTTTGGGGTAGCAGTCGTGCACTCTACAACCCGACCACACCGTTCCGTACGCCGCTAAAGTTTGAACGTCAACATTCCAGGTGTGTGAAGTTCCACTTCCGGGACACTCCGGAAGACGAGGGGCCAACGGATGTCTCCAAGCGCTAGGTCTGGCATCAGATTGTGTCTGTCATTATCTCCTAAGATTCTCCCACTGACCAATGCCCTGCAACACGAAGACCACACTTCTTGTATGTCCGCACACTATATGGAAAATCTACATCTGTACCCTTAAGGTTTATGACCAATGTATGTCTGTTGTAGAAATAAATAAAAACAAGATATACGAGTTTGGCCGATCTGGTTTAAAACTTTTTAGGAATTAAAAATGAACTTCGTGAAATTTTCACTTCCGCAAATAATTAAATAAAAACAAGTTAATGAATAAAATTGTTTAGAAATCTGTTACCTTCTTGGGGCTGTGTATGTATTTGTTAAATCAGGATTTAGTTGTTGGTGAGTTGTTGGTTGGCTAGTTGTGTGTCGGTAGTTGTGTGGGTAGTTGTAGAACCAGGATGTGTGATTGTGTGGGTTGTAGTGTGTGGGTAGTTGTAGGGGCTGGATGTATGATTGTGTGGGTAGTTGTTGTGTGTGTAGTTGTGTGTGGGTAGTTGTGTGTGGGTAGTTGTGTGTGGGTAGTTGTAGAACCAGGATGTGTGGTTGTGTGGGTAGTTGTTGTAAAGGGTAGTTGTGTGGGTAGTTGTGTGGGTAGTTGTAGGACTAGGATGTGTGGTTGTGTGGGTTGTAGTGTGTGGGTAGTTGTAGAACCAGAATGTGTGGTTGTGTGGGTAGTTGTAGGAGCTAGATGTATGATTGTGTGGGTAGCTGTTGTGTGGGTAGCTGTGTGTGGGTAATTGTGTGTCGGTAGTTGTGTGGGTAGTTGTAGAACCAGGATGTGTGGGTTGTAGTGTGTGGGTAGTTGTGTGTGGGTAGTTGTGTGGGTAGTTGTGTGGGTAGTTGTGTGGGTAGTTGTGTGGGTAGTTGTGTGTCGGTTGTAGTGTGTCGGTAGTTGTGTGTGGGTAGTTGTGTGTCGGTAGTTGTGTGTGGGTAGTTGTGTGGGTAGTTGTGTGTGGGTAGTTGTGTGGGTAGTTGTGTGGGTAGTTGTGTGTGGGTAGTTGTGTGTGGGTAGTTGTGTGTGGGTAGTTGTGTGTGGGTAGTTGTGTGTGGGTAGTTGTGTGTGGGTAGTTGTGTGGGTAGTTGTGTGGGTAGTTGTGTGTGGGTAGTTGTGTGTGGGTAGTTGTGTGTGGGTAGTTGTGTGTGGGTAGTTGTGTGTCGGTTGTAGTGTGTCGGTAGTTGTGTGTGGGTAGTTGTGTGTGGGTAGTTGTGTGTGGGTAGTTGTGTGGGTAGTTGTGTGGGTAGTTGTAGAACCAGAACGTGTAGTTGTGGAGTCTTTGAATAACAAAAGCTGGTGCCTAATCTCTAGGGAGATTTTTGACGGACTTTAAATTTTCATTGCACATTTTTCCATAATCTTGTTGTGTATTATGTGGGTGACGGGTGGGTTGTGAGAAATCGGGTTGATCTATAACAGAGGCGAACTAGTGGAGTCAACTAACACGTGATAAGGTGTACTTGACTACAGGGTTTCTCTCAGACATTTGTTTTCTCCGTGGGGGGGGGGGAGAAGAACTTGAAATTTGGGAGAGGGGTTGGGGACGCACTTAAAATGTATTTTGATACTATATATTTTTTCATTCAATGCTTTAAAAACCCTCCCTCCACCCCCACCCCCCCCCCCATCCCCACACACACACACACTCCCCCGAAGAATGTGGTTAAGGTGGCGCTATATTTGTAATATAAAGCTTTATATAGTAAAAAAAAAATACCACACAAATCTACTGATTCAGCAACTTGTTTTCTGGCTAATGTATTTGTCTTGTAGCTGTTACAAATAGGAAAAATATTGATTTAAACTTGTACACAATGTAATCACGCTCTAACTACAGCAACTCGTATATAAAAGTAGGTAAAAAAGTAATGCTCCTCTATAAATCTAGAAATCCGTGGCCAGATTAAGTAAATTTTATATTTTGCTTGACTTGGGCATATAAATGGATGGTTTGGTCAGTACTTTGTCCAGCACTGTACCCACCATAGCTTGCTAGACTCCGAAGGGACGTCCGAAGTTCACCAGTCCGAACCGAGATCCGAACTCGAGACCATGGGGCTAGCATCAAAACGCTCTACCATTCGGCCTCGTCGTTCCTCACTCATATCTATAAATATAATTCTCTTCTTGGAGAGCTGTAAGCTTGCTCCCTACCACCCCGCGCCTACATGGTCTGGTGAGCTGTGGTTCACGCTAAATCTTTACAATCGTAGAGCCGGGTTTAGTGACGGCTATTAGGGGCAGATAATTTAGTTTCAAATGATTTTAAACTTAAGGAAGGTAACTAAGAGTAGGCTGCTTTCACGGGGGGGGGGGGGGTGTAGGATAGGGGTTGGGGGAAAGGAGGGTGGGGGTAGTAACTTTCTTAACGATTTACTGATAGTGTTTTAAAGCAAATATTTTCAGTGGCAGCATTGGTACTGTCGAATTCACAAATTATGAATTACTGAAAAGTAGAAAATAAAACAACTAAATAGCGGCGTATGATACGCTCGTTAAATTATAATTCTAGAAACCCTGGACAAATGTATCGGCTTAAAAAGAAAATAGAAATTGTAACTGTAAACAGTTGTAGCAGTTAGGAAGCTATGGATGATATTTGAAAAGCTACTAAATTTGAAAATCTTCTCTTCTTAATCCCGTTCGTGCCCAAGACACATGGGGCAGATGAAGTAGAGTTCATCCGATTCATTGACCTCGGCATATGAAGGGATAGTGTGGTCAGCACTATGCCCAGCTCGCGTGGACTCAGGGACGCCCCACTGATTTGAACCCGGATTCGAACTCGAGACTCTTGGGTTGGCAGTCTAGCATAATTGTGGTGTTCATTTTTTGTCTTACACTGGAATTGTTTGACCGAAAAAAAAAACATTTCGTCAACTGGAAACATGAACACACACAGAGGCGTCGCGAGGTGGGGGCTGGGGCAGGGGTGACACCATTTGGGGGGGGGGGTGACACCAAGACAAATAATTGCGAGAAATATTGAAAAAATATGTCTTTGTCAGTTCGTTGAATGGGTAAAAAGTATTTTAAGTACAATATGACGATCCCAACAACGAGGGTGGGGGGTGTGAGGGCACCATAATACCCAGCTGTATTAACAAACTATTATAGATAAACATCATTAGTATTAAATGTATTAAATGTTAACAAGAAAGCTTTTGCCGGGTTGGGGGGGGGGGGGGGGGGGGGTGACACAAGCTGCAAAATTTAATGTGAAAAAAAAGGGGGAATGACACCATGAGGTGCCGCACTTGGTAACACCCGGCCTAGCGACGCCATATGATATGAATCTATAGTCAACGTCTCAAGGAAAGAAAAATAAACATTATTTTTGTTAAGTTAGTTTTTATTTTGTCATGAGTTGATGGCACAGCACAAAAGACGAGTTTCTCTTCAACAAAACATATTTTTTCTTTTATTTTTTTCCCCATCAAGTCAAACAGTCATATAATTTGTATGTTGAAGTTTTAAGATTTAGAATACACTGATAGTTTACACTAAGAGTTTTGGTTGATCTACTATTATGTCAAGATGGACATATCGATCTCATTGAGCCTAGGGATTGTAAAACATTGGATATTTGTTTTTTGTTGTTAACACCGCGTGTTTCTTGATAGCACGTAACACATCTGATTGACGTTTTGGGGGTGGCTCCACTGGAAGCCGTTACCTGTAGATGACAGGTGACATTTGTGATGACAGGTGACAATGCTGATAACAGGCGACATTGGGGAGGACAGGTGACATTGGGGAGGACAGGCGACATTGCTGATGACAAGTCGTGACATTGCTGATGACAGGTGACATTGGTGATTACGGGTGACATTGCTAATGGCAGGTGACATTGTTGATGAAAGGTGACATTGGGGAGGACAGGTGACATTGATGATGACAGGCGACATTGATAATAACACCTGACATTTAAGATTACATGTGACATTTAAGATGACAGGTGACATAAATGATGACATGTGACATTGGTGATGACATGTGACATTCCTGATGACATGTGACATTGAACATGACAAGTGACATTGATGATGACAGGAGACATTGATGATAGCAGGTGACATACGTGAAGATTGTTAACGTAATTGATGAAGCACAGAGATTACACTATGACAACGGTGAAGACGGGGGGCGGGGGACAGTGACTAAAAATAACAACAGAGATGACAGGCAATAGCAGTAATTAATGATGACAGATGGCAACAAAGATGACAGATGGCAACAGCAATGACTGATGTTAACAGTAATAACTACAGAGTTGACAGGTGACAATAATGACAGATGACAACAAAGATGACAGATGACAACAAAGATGACAGAAGACAGTAAAAATAATGCGAGAATGAAAACAGATGACAACAAGGCAACGTCTAACCACCTAACCACCTAACCATCTAACTGATCCAAGTACTAGCCTTGGGGAACCAGTTATATCTTTCATAGAAGAACCAACTTAACTTACCCCTTGACCAAACTACTAACCGCAGGGAACGAGTAAGACCTTTCTAAAGGTCCTACTTAGCTTACTCCTTGTGTAAGGATCTACCCTGCTGGACCTCTTGACCTACTATTCACGAGTGGGACCTACCCTGACGATCTCTTGACCTAACAACTACCAACGAGGGAGACCTACCCTGAATGACCTCTTGACCTAATATCCACGAGGGAGGCCTCCCCTGATTGACCTATTGACCTACCCAGTGCCCCTGAGTGAGACCAACCCTGATTGACCTGTTGACCTACTATCCACGTGTGAGACCTACACTGATTGACCTGTTGACCTACTATCCACGTGTGAGACCTACCCTGATTGACCTATTGACCTACTGCTCACGAGTGAGACCTACCCTGATGGACCTATTGACCTACTGCCCACGAGTGAGACATACCCTGATGGACCTATTGACCTACTGCCCACGAGTGAGACCTACCCTGATGGACCTATTGACCTACTGCCCACGAGTGAGACCTACCCTGATGGACCTATTGACCTACTGCCCACAAGTGAGACCTACCCTGATGGACCTATTGACCTACTGCCCACAAGTGAGACCTACCCTGCTGGACCTATTGACCTACTGCCCACAAGTGAGACCTAACCTGATGGACCTATTGACCTACTGCCCACAAGTGAGACCTACCCTGATGGACCTATTGACCTACTGCCCACAAGTGAGACCTACCCTGCTGGACCTATTGACCTACTGCCCACAAGTGAGACCTAACCTGATGGACCTATTGACCTACTGCCCACGAGTGAGACCTACCCTCATGGACCTATTGACCTACTGCCCACGAGTGAGACCTACCCTGAAGGAAGATGTTGTTGGGTGGGCCGAGCAAGTTGCGCCTAGGTGTGACCCTCGCTAGCAGGTAGGAGCCGTAGGAGCCGTACATCGTTCGGAGCCGGATATCGCGTTGTTCCTGCGTCTCCATCTCTGTCAGGTGGGGGGGGGGCAGAATGTGTTTAAAGTGTTAAGGTAGGGCAGATTGTGTTTAAAGTGTTAAGGCAGGGCAGATTGTGTTTAAAGATTGTGTTAAGGCACGGCAGATCACTGGGTAGCTTATATTATATATAAGAGTGGATACATTATATGTGTATGGGGCAGAGAATGTTATCACAGGGCATATTATATTTGACAAGGCAGAGAATGTTATCACAGGGCATATTATATTTGACAAGGCAGAGAATGTTATCACTGGGCATATTATATTTGACAGGGCAGATAATGTTATTATATGGCATATTATATTTGACAGGGCAAAGAATGTTATTGCAGGACAAATATTTGACAGGGCAGAGAATGTTATCACTGGGCATATTTTATTTGACAAGGCAGAGAATGTTATCACAGGGCATATTATATTTGACAGGGCAGATAATGTTATTACATGGCATATTATATTTGACAGGGCAAAGAATGTTATTACAGGACAAATATTTGACAGGGCAGAGAATGTTATCACTGGGCATATTTTATTTGACAGGGCAGAAAAGGTTATCACAGGGTATATTATATTTGACAAGGCAGAGAATGTTATCACAGGGCATATTATATTTGACAAGGCAGAGAATGTTATCACAGGGCATATTATATTTGACAAGGCAGAGAATGTTATCACAGGGCATATTATATTTGACAGTGCAGATAATGTTATTACGTGGCATATTATATTTGACAGGGCAAAGAATGTTATTACAAGACAAATATTTGACAGGGCAGAGAATGTTATCACTGGGCATATTTTATTTGACAGGGCAGAAAAGGTTATCACAGGGCATATTATATTTGACAGGGCAGAGAAGCTTATCACAGGACATATTATATTTGACAGGGCAGAGCAGCTTATCACAGGGCTGACTGTTCGAAAAAGGCAGACGTTACTAACATATGGCAGATAATACGACAAAGCAGATTATTGCAGAACGGGCTGTTAATGTTAAGGAAAGGGCTGATTATGTTTTAGACAATGTAAATTATGTGTTTAGAATAGTCGAGTATGCTTTAAGCACTTGAGATAGACAAGCGAGTCTAGTTAGCACTTACTGCTTTCTGTCAACCTCTGAACGCGGTCGGCAAATCTAAACGTTTCTGGCACCAGGCATTTCTGTGATGGAATCAAGTCAAAGAGTTAAGTCATCAAATCAAAAGTCAAAGAGCTGAGTTATCAAATCATGTGAGGTTTGATACAGTGATGTATGCAGGTGATGTTTGTTACAATGATGTCTGCAGGTGATGTTTGCTAAAGTCTACAGGTGATGTTTGTTACAATGATGTCTGCAGGTGATGTTTGTTAGTGATGTATGCAGGTGATGTTTGTTAGAGTGATATCTACAGGTGATGTTTGTTACAGTGAAGTCCGCAGGTGATGTTTGTTACACTGATGTCTACAGGTGATGTTTGTTACAGTGATGTCTACAGGTGATGTTTGTTACAGTGATGTATACAGGTGATGATTGTTACAGTGATGTATACAGGTGATGTTTGTTACACTGATGTCTACAGGTGATGTTTGTTACAGTGATGTATACAGGTGATGATTGTTACAGTGATGTCCGCAGGTGATGTTTGTTACAATGATGTCTGCAGGTGATGTTTGTTACACTGATGTATGCAGGTGATGTTTGTTACACTGATGTATGCAGGTGATGTTTGTTACACTGATGTATGCAGGTGATGTTTGTTACACTGATGTATGCAGGTGATGTTTGTTACAGTGATGTATACAGGTGATGTTTGTTACACTGATGTATGCAGGTGATGTTTGTTACAGTGATGTATACAGGTGATGTTTGTTACAGTGATGTATGCAGGTGATGTTTGTTACAATGATGTCTGCAGGTGATGTTTGTTACACTGATGTATGCAGGTGATGTTTGTTACACTGATGTATGCAGGTGATGTTTGTTACACTGATGTATGCAGGTGATGTTTGTTACACTGATGTATGCAGGTGATGTTTGTTACAGTGATGTATACAGGTGATGTTTGTTACAGTGATGTCTACAGGTGATGTTTGTTACACTGATGTATGCAGGTGATGTTTGTTACAGTGATGTATACAGGTGATGTTTGTTACAGTGATGTATGCAGGTGATGTTTGTTACAATGATGTCAGCAGGTGATGTTATGAAACTCACCGAGTCCGGACCTCCTCTAGGATTTAATCCATCTATTGAGAGGAACAAAAATCAGAAAATTATCTTCAATCAAACGTATATAAATAAATATACTTAAAACAAAAAAACAGAAACATATTTTCAATGAAAAAAAATTCAGAAAATTATTGTCAAACAAAAGATGGGAGAATGTGGTCGCGTAAAAGAGCATTTCATCACTAACCCGTCTGGGTGGTTATCAAATTAAGAGGAGACAACTGGCCGTAATGCTGATCACACAATCACATGTTTTCATAAACTTTATATTAGAAATACAGAAGAGCTCTACTTCACCTTATTTACCAATAATGTGAAAGGGTAATTACATTTCTCCCTGCATATTATAACTTTATAACGATGCTAGTCAACAAATATGTTTGTTTTAGTTCTTAAATTTTTTTTTAAAATAGCAAATTGTAATTTCATGGTTAAAGCTATACTAACCATAACCCAGAAATAACCCTAAACTTGTAGTAAACATTATTTTCCTCACCGTTGATGTTACTGACGTATTCATTTCCGCCATTAAAGCACTGCCCAGGCTCAGTCTGCCCTGGGCCCGAACCCACGGCTTGTTGGGATGGTTCATTCAGCTGAGTATTGGACGACACGTTGGCGCACGTACTCATGGAAGCGGTATTGGGGTCAGGGTGCATCGGGGTCAACTGCATGGCTTGCGGGTTATATGACTGCATGACTTGTTGGTTATATGACTGCATGGCTTGTTGGTTATATGACTGCATGACCGGTGGGCCGGATGACTGCATGCCTTGTTGCCCGTAGAGCTAATCACAAGGGTTACTGGTTAACAACGTACACTCGGTTACATCAGGTTAGGGTAAGATTAGGGTTTACAATAAAATACATGACGTCGCTCGGGAAGGTTACTGGTTAATAAACTACACTAGTTTAAATCAGCAAGAAATGCTGGTTAAACTTAGCCATGGCCCCTTTCCCTAAACATAACAAGTTCCCTAGCCACGTAACTGATACCACTCTCCCTGGCCCTGATTTCTAACCCTGACCCTAATAATAGGGCGTGTAAGTAGGTCACAACTTCTAGTTCTCGTACTATGCAGCTAGCAGATTTGGAGACCGTAGACTTACAAGCCATATTGTAGAAGCATACAGAGAATCACCATCGCTGGTAGTTTAAATATTGATATCTCATCGTTTTTTTCCTTTTCGTGAGGTAGATACAGAAGAGTACATCTGTTTCAGTGACGTCGGGACAGTGTGGTCAGCTTTATGCCCAGCCGCCTTTATTTCTCCCTAACTTGAGTTAGGTGCCCATCAGAACTCGAGGCTTTCGGGTTAGCAGTCTAGCGCTCTACCGCTAGGCAACGACGTCACTATTTATCATTATGTAAGCCATCCCCTTTATTTTTCACCTTCACACATATTTACAAATAGCCAGACCCTTACTTTACAAGTGTGTGCCTCCGTGTACATTCGACCCGTATGTGGGTACGGCTAATCAATAATTACGGTACAAAACTGAAAGCTCGTACCTGGTTGGGGGGTGGGAAGGTGGCATAGAAGCCAGAGCAGGCGTTCCCTGGGTGGTTGGAGGGGGGCATCATGAACTGCTGGGCGGGCGGGAGGGCGTTATAGCCACAGAAGGGGGAGGTTCGGGGCGTCTTCAGGGTCTCCATCTCTGCCACTATGTCGATCCTCCGGGGCACCAGCTGGGGTGGGGGCTTGCACCTAGGGGTGGAGGTTGAGTGGTGTATAGGGTGGGGGCTTGCACCTAGGTGTAGAGGTTGAGTTGTGTATAGGGTGGGGGCTTACACCTAGGTGTAGAGGTTGAGTTGTGTATAGGGTGGGGGCTTGCACCTAGGTGTAGAGGTTGAGTTGTGTATAGGGTGGGGGATTGCACCTAGGTGTAGAGGTTGAGTTGTGTATAGGGTGGGGGTTTGCACCTAGGTGTAGAGGTTGAGTTGTGTATAGGGTGGGGGCTTGTATTTAGCGGAACAGGTCGTGTTGTGTATAAGGTGGGGGCTTGCACTCAAGTAAATAGTCGAGTTAAAGAGCAGGCGGTCAGGCAATCTTACTTGAAGTAGGTCAATTATAACTATTTGAAGTAGGCTGGGTGGGGGGTCAATTTGATTTATTAAAGTTCGTAGCCGGGGGTTAATTAAACTTACTTGAGATGAGAATCACAGTAGCAGCGGGGGTCGGGCAGAACGTGAGGGGTCAGGTTCATGAAACCCGGGTTGCAGGGGATGACAGGCACACAGCAGGCTGTCGTCACATCCGGTTGCCCAAGGGTCTGGGGCGTCATGGGGAATGTGACCTCCCTCTCACCCCCGGGCTTGGTCGGCAGGAGGGGGATGTATGTCGTCTGGCGGAGGGCCCGGATGTCCGTGTTGGGCGGCACGTAGACTCTTTCAGGCGCTGGGGGTGGGGACAGATGGTTGGATTAATCGATCGGTTGGGGGTGGGGGTGGGGGTAGATGGTTGGATTAATTCATCGATTGGGGGTGGGGGAAGATGGTTGGATTAATTGATCGGTTGGGGGTGGGGGAAGATGGTTGGATTAATCTATCGGTTGGGGGTGGGGGTGGGGGTAGATGGTTGGATTAATTCATCGATTGGGGGTGGGGGAAGATGGTTGGATTAATTGATCGGTTGGGGGTGGGGGCAGATGGTTGGATTAATTCATCGATTGGGGGTGGGGGAAGATGGTTGGATTAATTGATCGGTTGGGGGTGGGGGAAGATGGTTGGATTAATCTATCGGTTGGGGGTGGGGGTGGGGGTAGATGGTTGGATTAATCTATCGGTTGGGGGTGGGGATGGGGGTAGATGGTTGAACTAATCCATCGGTTGGGGTGGGGGCAGATGGTTGGATTAATTGATCGGTTGGGGGTGGGGGTGGTGAGATAACGAGAGGCGCTAGGAGCTATGTCAGATCGCTTATTTAATCACACAGGATTATGCAGGGGTAGGAAGTGCACAAAATGGGTGTTGTAAACAAAATATTGTCGTTTAATGACCCCCAAACCACAGAGATGTGGATTGGATTGCTTATTTACACTGTTGTTATTAATTAATTACCCGTCTGTTGTTCAATATAGCGTATAACCGACTCGAATGCTCATAACTCAACCGAGTGAAAAATCGATTGTTTCCTTCACGAAAAATTCCGGCTGCTGAACTGGTGAAAGTTGACAGGCTAATTGACGTCGTCGCCCTGCGTTATGCCTTACTAAGTTAGGATGTTGGAAAGTGTGGGTAGGGGTAGGGCGGGTTTGGTGGGGAAATGAACGGGTTACGATTTCGCGATCTTTGGGACCAGCATGGATTCTAGCGCTGGGTCACGCTGGGCCAGAGGCGTAGCGACCCTTCCCGGGGACAAACTTTTCGATTTGCACCCCCCCCCCCTCAAGATTTCGATTTGCACCCCCCCTCAAACTTTCGATTTCCACCCCCACCCCCCCCCCCATCAACATTTCAATTTATTTTACCAACCCATTTTGGCGCCCCCTAAGGTCGGCGCCAGGGCCCCCCGCCCCCCCCCCCCCTTGCTACGCTACTGCCCTGGGCCACGCTGGGCCACGCCTAGTTAACGAACCAATAACTTCAATACTGAGTCGTAGAGCCTTATCGGATCCAATTCAGAAAACTGTTTCAATGGTTGTCAAAGTGTAAGTAAAATAGAATGGTGTGACTAAGACAGTTATCTGACAACAATGACGGTTGTGTTGTTGTAGTTTACGCCTGATCAAACAAGCAACCATAGGACGACACGACTGAAATAAGCAGGTAATGACCAATGAATGTTGTGACTAAGACAGTTATCTGACAACAGAATGACGGTTGTGTTGATGTAGTTTACGCCTGATCAAACAAGCAACCATAGGACGACACGACTGAAATAAGCAGGTAATGACCAATGAATGTTGTGACTAAGACAGTTATCTGACAACAGAATGACGGTTGTGTTGTTGTAGTTTAAGCCTGATCAAACAAGCAACCATAGGACGACACGACTGAAATAAGCAGGTAATGACCCATGAATGTTGTGACTAAGACAGTTATCTGACAACAGAATGACGGTTGTGTTGATGTAGTTTAAGCCTGATCAAACAAGCAACCATAGGACGACACGACTGAAATAAGCAGGTAATGACCAATGAATGTTGTGACTAAGACAGTTATCTGACAACAGAATGACGGTCGTGTTGATGTAGTTTAAGCCTGATCAAACAAGCAACAATAGGACGACACGACTGAAATAAGCAGGTAATGACCAATGAATGTTGTGACTAAGACAGTTATCTGACAACAGAATGACGGTTGTGTTGATGTAGTTTACGCCTGATCAAACAAGCAACCATAGGACGACACGACTGAAATAAGCAGGTAATGACCAATGAATGTTGTGACTAAGACAGTTATCTGACAACAGAATGACGGTTGTGTTGATGTAGTTTAAGCCTGGTCAAACAAGCAACCATAGGACGACACGACTGAAATAAGCAGGTAATGACCAATGAATGTTGTGACTAAGACAGTTATCTGACAACAGAATGACGGTTGTGTTGATGTAGTTTAAGCCTGATCAAACAAGCAACCATAGGACGACACGACTGAAATAAGCAGGTAATGACCAATGAATGTTGTGACTAAGACAGTTATCTGACAACAGAATGACGGTTGTGTTGATGTGGTTTAAGCCTGATCAAACAAGCAACCATAGGACGACACGACTGAAATAAGCAGGTAATGACCAATGAATGTTGTGACTAAGACAGTTATCTGACAACAGAATGACGGTCGTTTTGATGTAGTTTAAGCCTGATCAAACAAGCAACCATAGGACGACACGACTGAAATAAGCAGGTAATGACCAATGAAAGAAATATTTGGAATCGATACCTTTGGTGCTCAGATGAGTATGGCATTGGTAGTCGGTTGGCTTGGCATAGACTTGGTATCGATACTGGTTATAATTGAGATCTTCCAGCTGAAGTTTATAATAAAAGTGTGTTAATAAGTGTATTCGATTTCTGAAATCAAACTTCGATTATGAAGGTAACTTATAAACAAACTTTATAAATGTAGTATATAAAGAGTCGTGTGTTCGAAGAGTTGATAAAGTCATCATGTTTGTACGTGAAAAACAAAGTTATCATATGACATTTACAGGAAATAACTGAGACATGTAAACGAGATTCATAACTAGAATGTAGATGATACTAGTGACATTTGAGTGACAAATGGGTGACACTTTAAAGCCAGGTGTGTGACATTAAAGTGACAGTTGAGGGATCTGTGTGTGACATTAAAGTGACAGTTGAGGGACCTGTGTGTGACATTAAAGTGACAGTTGAGGGACCTGTGTGTTACATTAAAGTGACAGTTGAGGGACCTGTGTGTGACATTAAAGTGACAGTTGAGGGATCTGTGTGTGACATTAAAGTGACAGTTGAGGGACCTGTGTGTGACATTAAAGTGGCAGTTGAGGGACCTGTGTGTGACAGACGGGTGAAATGTCACATGATAGCAGGTGAACTGACAATGGAGATCATATTTCAAGCGACAAATGACATTCAAATGACATGTGATGGATGACAACTCACATTCACGGAGTCCATTGGGATCGTGTCTTGCTCCCACCCGGGAGTACTCTAACATTAACACAAGGAAAGAAGAATTTTGTGAAGTTTTGTAAGAAAACAAAATTACAACTGCTTGAAAAATTATCACTTCTATTTTTTTTTCTATTATAAGAAATTCATTTTGTGGACTTGACAGTTCATGCACGCACAGACTAACAAAATTTATATTATAGTCGTTCACTATTGCGAGATATGGTAATATATATGGATACACCCAACATAAGGACAAAGTCAACATATAGACACTAAACCCAACGGCAAACCAATTTAAATACACACCAAACATAAGGACAGTCAACATAGAGACACTAAACCCAACGGCAAACCAATTTAACGACACACCAAACATAAGGACACAGTCAACATAGAGACACTAAACCCAACGGCAAAAAAATTTAAAGACACGCCAAACATAAGGACACAGTCAACATAGAGACACTAAACCCAACGGCAAAAAAATTTAAAGACACACCAAACATAAGGACACAGTCAACATAGAGACACTAAACCCATCGGACTTATTAACATATTATCATAGAGACGGGTCTAGGTTATTAATCATACCCTGTCAGTTACCCCCCCCCCCCCCCTCCCACATTACTTCCGGAGCAATATACCATGTCTAAATCGAGGGGGGGGATGTCCGGGGGTAATTAACCGGGGATGGGGTAATGTCATGTTCCCCATAGAGACTCTAAACATAAGTAAAAAAGGTAGGCATAAAGACACACTAAAAATTAAAAACATACTAAAAATAAGTTTACTCTAAGCATAACAAAAAAAACTAAACGTAAGTACACACAAAAGTCAGAGACAACACACCACTAGACAACAACAACACACCAGACAACAACACACCACCAGACAACAACACCACCACCAGACAACAACAACACACCAGACAACAACAACACACCAAGAGACAACGACAACACCACTAGACAACAACACACCACCAGACAACACCACCACCACCAGACAACAACAACACACCACACAACAACAACACACCAAGAGACAACGACAACACCACTAGACAACAACACACCACCAGACAACACCACCAGATAACAACACACCACCAGACAACAACACACCACCAGACAACAACAACACACCAGACAACAACACACCACCAGACAACACACCACCCGACAACAACACACCACTAGACAACAACACACCACTAGACAACAACACACCACCAGACAACAACACACCACCAGACAACAATACACCAGACAACAACACACCACCAGACAACAACAACACACCAGACAACAACACACCACCAGACAACAACAACACACCACCAGACAACAACAACACACCAACAGACAACAACACACCACCAGACAACAATACACCACCAGACAACAACACACAAGACAACAACACACAACCAGACAACAACAACACATCACCAGACAACAACACACCACCAGACAACAATACACCACCAGACAACAATACACCAGACAACAACACACCACCAGACAACAACAACACACCAGACAACAACACACCACCAGACAACAACAACACACCACCAGACAACAACAACACACCAACAGACAACAACACACCACCAGACAACAATACACCACCAGACAACAACACACAAGACAACAACACACAACCAGACAACAACAACACATCACCAGACAACAACACACCACCAGACAACAATACACCACCAGACAACAATACACCAGACAACAACACACCACCAGACAACAACACACCACCAGACAACAACAACACACCAGACAACAACACACCACCAGACAACAACACACCAGACAACTACACACCACCAGACAACAACACACCACCAGACAACAACACACCACCAGACAACAACACACCACCAGACAACACACCACCAGACAACACACCACCAGACAACACCACCAGACAACAACACCAGACAACAACACACCACCAGACAACAACAACACACCACCAGACAACAACAACACACCACCAGACAACAACACACCACCAGACAACACCACCAGACAACACCACTAGACAACAACACACCACCAGACAACAACAACACACCACCAGACAACAACAACACACCACCAGACAACAACACCAGACAACAACACCAGACAACAACACACCACCAGACAACAACACACCACCAGACAACACCACCAGACAACACCACCAGACAACAACATCAGACAACAACACACCACCAGACAACAACACACCACCAGACAACACCACCAGACAACACCAACAGACAACAACAACAGACCACCAGACAACAACACCAGACAACAACACACCACCAGACAACACCACCAGACAACAACACACCACCAGACAACAACACACGACCAGACAACAGCACACCACCAGACAACAACACACCACCAGACAACAACACACCAGCAGACAACAACACACCACCAGACAACACCACCAGACAACAACACACCACCAGACAACAACACCAGACAACACCACCAGACAACAACACCAGACAACAACACACCACCAGACAACAACACACCAATAAACAACAACACCACCAGACAACAACACACCACCAGACAACACCACCAGACAACACCACCAGACAACAACGCCAGACAACAATACACCAGACAACAACACCACACCAGACAACAACACACCACCAGATAACAACACACCACCAGACAACAACACACCACCAGACAACAACACACCACTAGACAACAACACACCACCAGACAACAACACACCACTAGACAACAACACACCACCAGACAACAACACACCACCAGACAACAACAACACACCAGACAACAACACACCAGACAACAACAAAGCTACATCAACCCTGCGTCTCACCGTCCAGTACTGACAGTTCTTCGCCCCAGAGGGGTTCTGTTGCCTGACCCCAGCACACGCCCCACCCCTAGGGGTCATGTCGTTCATGTTAGGGCAGGGAGCGAGCTCGGGCGCGCGAAGCTGATTCACCGTCTGCTGCATGTTGACCTCTTTATTCCACCCTACGTACGTCTGGCTCTTACAATCTGGTCCTGTCAAGTCATCCAAGCATTAATTTAAATTAGTAATTACGGTACTCGATTAGCTATACCACCTGGGCGATACCAAAGTCGTATCGAATGTAAGCCCTGTGTTTATTGTGGACTTTGGGTTAAAGTTTGGTCTAAAGATAGATGCGTCACTATGTCGGATGTGCCTTGGTACATGCCTCAATGCCTGTTTCTAGGCGACGAAATACCTTGCAAGCGTTCAGTGAAGAGTTTAAGAAGGATTAATATATTCAATTGGAGAAGCCCCGTTTTCGCTTTAAATTTTAAATCTGTTTTCATCTTTGCTACCCGGTATGATAACCGAAAGATTCTAGACTTGGCCATGCTACTAGACTAACTAAGGCACCAACATAACCGAAAGTTTCCTACTATGTCTACTAAGGACGGCATGGCCTAAGTGGTAGAGAGCTTGGCTGCTTATCCGAAAGTGTTGAGCTCGTATCTGCGTCCAAGTCAGTAGACCGTCCCTGAGACCTCCCAGCTCTGATGGGTACCTAGCTCTTGTTAGGGAAAGTATAGTCGGCTGAGCAAAGTGCTGACCACACATCCTCTTCCGAGTTCAAGAACTCTTCATCAGCCCATTGGATCGCTAGGTCTAAAGAAGATTCATTTAATCAACAACACTGCCATTCTAAGCCTAGATCTAGATTATACGGATTTTATCATTTTACGTATTGTTCCGGTTTGCTGTTATCTTCGAATAGCTGTTAGAATCTAGTTCTAGATTCAAGAATCGATTTAGATTTGTTTATCTCTACGCTACCTTTATTCAAAAATCTTTATATTAGAATATCTAACTTAATATAGGTAAGAACAACAAATTGACCTTATATTATTTTTCGATGGTATCTTTGATCTAGATCTATGTCAGATGGTTTGAGATGTGCTTCATATTACCATGTTTATCTAGGGGAGACGGCGTGGCAATGTTTTTTAGTGCGCACCAAACTGAACGAAAGTTTTAAAACCTCAGTTGTGTTTGAGTGTGAAAACCGTGTTTTATTAACGTGCGCAATGCTAAGTTATAGTTGTATGACGTGTATAATAGTGCTGTTTAATAAATTAAACTTTGTTGTTACATGCTTTTACTTAACTTGCCTCTGTCTGTATGTCGTTCTTGTGTCTGTCTTTGTTCGATACAGATCGAAAGTGTAGAGCGAAATTTCGACCACTTCTAACGGACCAACTTCTCATAATAACAAGCTTTAATGTGATAATGCACTAAAAATAAGAAAATAAATCTCCTTCAATAAATATTGATAATGAACAACTATTCAAAGAACTAAAACCAAAAGCGTGTATCGCTTCTCATCTAGTAAAGGTATATAAAATCTAATATAGCTTTAATTTTTAGATATTTAAATAGCAGTTCATTGTTATATATTTACAGTAAATCATTTATTTTCTCCTTTTAGTGCATTATTACATAAAATTGTTATTAAAACTGTCTATATGCTTTTTTCTGGTACTTTAAAACTTTAATACCAGAGAGTTGCATGACTAGAGACAATTAGACCTATGCACTAAAGTACCACGAAAAATATATATCCAAAACAAAGTATATAATATATAAACATAAAAAATTGTGCTGGCTGGTGTACGGATGGGTAGTCATGATTTCGTCATTTATTATATGTATCTAAATGCAATCCATCTTCACGACACTGGAGGACTTTTAACAAAAAGAGGAAGGCCACACATTGTCTGGCTAAATTAAGGGAACAATTCAAGTTGCTTTCAATTTTTCAAATATTTAAATAGGCCTTATAATAAGCGTTCTCCTTTGCAATTTTTTTACTTCATTTAGTCTTTACAGGTGGTTTAAGATGCGCAACAGTCAATCAATATGCTCTACCTTTACTATGTTATTATCTAACCCTCTGAAATAAATTAAAAATAAGTAGATATCTTTATAATTTAAAATATTGCTATAATTAGGCCTATAAATCAGGTTTTACATTTTAATTTAATAGCCCAACAGAGCTATATTATTTACTAATTTTTATTTATTTTATCCATTTTAGGTCACAGGGAATATAATTTCAGCAAATACGCAACATGCTTTGATCATCTCACATGAGATTATAAATGTTCTCTTCCTTTTGAGGGGAAATAAACTGTTTTCTGTTTATTTTCTGCTGACTTGGCACCTAATAAGATACACTGCTCTTAGTGCCTTGCTTTACCTATTTTCTTGGACTATCTCTTACCCTTAAGCCTAAAGGCTTAGGGGCTAACTCCTAAGCCCATCCCCCCCCCTCATGATTTCGATTTGCTCCCCCCTCACTTTCAATTTGCAGCCCCCCCCCCCCCCCCCCATAACTTTCGATTTGCACCACCTCTCAACCTTTCAATTTATTTTTTACAACCCATTTTGGCGCCTTCTAAGGTCGGCGCCCGGGGAAATGTGTCGTCTCCCCCCCCCGCCCCCCCCCCCCCATCTCGCTATACCTCTCCTACTATGTAATTCTAAATGCCATAAAAGTTCAACTCGTTGTAAAAAGTGATAATATTGATTGAGACTATAGTACAATAATATAATTTGAATGTTTCTGTCATTTACTTTAATTAATAATCAATAAAGACTTAATTTCATGATCCTTACGGTATGAAAATCCAAAATCAGCTCATGATCTTCTAATTCGGACTTTGGCCTGTCGTCCCTAGCCAGATAATCTTCTAATTCGGACTGGCCGGCCTAAGGCCGAAATCAAGAGCCATTTCAGACTTTGGTCCACCATGGCCAGTCCGCGGATTTGGCCGACCAAAGACCGAAATCAAATAAACTTTCCGAATTTGACCGGTCAATGGGAGGCGACATTGGACAATGCGTGCTTTGGCCGACTTCGGGCTTTGACCGTAACATATATATATATATACATATATATATATATATATGTTACGGTCAAAGCCCGAAGTCGGCCAATGCTAGGATTGGCCGGCCAATCCGCGCATTGGCCAATATCGCCTTCCATAGGTCGGTCAAAGTCCGAAACTTTGCTTGATTTCGGCCTTTGGCCGGCCAATCCGCAGACTGGCCAGGATGTACCGGCCAAAGTCTGAAATAGCACTTGATTTCGGCCTTTGGCCGGCCAGTCCGCGGACTGGCCATAGTGGACCGGCCAAAGTCTTAATTAGAAGATCATCTGGCTAGGGACAACCGGCCAAAGTCCGAATTAGTAGATCATGAGCAGATTTTGTTGTTTTTTTTTAATGCCGTAAGGATCATGAAATTAAGTCTTTATTGATTATTAATTAAAGTAAATGACAGAAACATTCAAATTTTTTATTGTACTATAGTCTCAATCTATCAATATCATCATTTGTTATAACAAGTTGAACTTTTATGGCATTTAGAATTACATAGTAGCTTGTTATTTTTACACTTGCAGCGATTTATTGTGCACTTAGTTGTGCAATTGCAGCGAGTGTAGCCTTGGCCCCCAGTCAATGATTGAGAAGATGCAATGGTTCGTAGTGATTTTTCCTTAGTGCCAACTGACGACAATAAGAGCAGTTTTTCGTGAAGAATTGAAAACTCACTTCTTGCATACAGTTGTTTTAGAACACCATGTTCCGTTCCTAATTTGTAGAAACCGCCCTCGACGCTCATGACAACTGCAATCACGCTTCGGGGATCACCGTGACCTCTGTCAACATCTGGAATACGGATGCGTACATTGTCACCCACTTCACCATCTTTAAATTTTGTATTTGATGTTTTAAGCATCTTAGCACCTTGAGTTTGCAAGCCAGTATGAGCTGCTAATCTGTGTTCCATGATGGCTTGTTTGTTGTGACACAATCTGCAGGTAATGTTCCCTCCGTACCCTTCGTCTGCTTCATTGGGTATTCCACAAATAGCATGGACATCGTTGCCACAGGATCCAAAAGAATGAGCTGCACTACAACGTTTTTCACAAACTATACAGAATCTGTTGGCCACATTATTGTCACGCAGCTGGTCTGGACGTTCCGCCACGGCAGTAGATGTGTTAGCTGAGGATGACGTTGCATTTATTGCAACCTCCATTTCTTGTTCAATGTTCTCAAGATCTTCCTCAGTAACTATTTTATCGAGAGCCCATATATGGAAACTAACATTGATTTACATTTTTTTCTTTTGAAAGCCATCTGCTATGTCTGTCTCATGGTCTGACAGCCCTTTTGATCCATGTCGCCTTGCATATAGAATGCTATACAAACAAGAGCTATATATATATATGTGTGTGTATATATATATATATATATATATATATATAGGCCTATATATTATAGATATATATAGATATATATATATATATATATATATATCACCATACATAGATATATATATAAAAGAGTTATAATGCGACTTAATAAAAGGTGAATAGGCCTAGTCTAGATCTACATATTTTTATTCTTAATTGGCTGAAGAGTACTGAAGTGTATTTAAAAACTTTCTTTACCATCTTGAGTCTAGCAACAAAACAGATATACGAGTAAGTTGATCTAGAATCTAGATTAGATCTAGAGTCTAGATCTAGAATATTTTTTAAAATCCTTAATTATTATTATCATCCGAGAAAAAACCATCCCGCACTGGCCTATGCCAAGGCCGTTCGGTTCACAGCTTGCGGGTTTGTTTTATATCACGGCCCAATCTAAGGGGGGATTCGGTAATCTATCGTTTTGGGTACGTAAAATCGCCCGCGACTAGATCTAGAGTCTAGTAATGTGAAAAACAGGTGACTCCTTAAATTTTAATAATTATTTCACACTTTGAGGAGGATTTATGTTTTTTAAAATACAAAAATGTTTCTTTGTTTCATTTATGTACCTGTTTTTAAACAATTGAATTAAAACTTTTCAGTAATTAATGAAGACGCGATGTTTCCAACAGATGCAACCATGCTCATTTACTATAGCAGCCATCTTGTTTAAGTTTTTTTTATAGCGGATATAGCGCGAGACAGGGGGAAGCCACTCTATTTTACAAATGGCTGCTGTTTATATAGCAAATCTTGCTCGCAAACACTGCTGTTTAAAGTTAATTTCTGGCATATATTGATATATTTAGCCATTGATTTAGGTTTATTATTCATTTATCTATAATATTGGACACAAATATATCACAATATACTTCTACTAAAGCCTTGACAATGAGGTAACTTTTTCGTACATTAATAGCCGCGGGCGATTTTACGTACCCAAAACGATAGATTACCGGGGATTCTAAGTAGATCTAAGTCTAACTAAGTCACTAAGTTGAAGCGATTTAGTTAGACTCTAACTCAAACTGTTAGAGTTTTGAATCTTTTGATCTAATCTTAAAATACTAGATCTAGGTCAGCTAGATATCTAGATCTAGATTCAAAGATGTCGGCACGGTTTCGTTTTCATTAATGGGGACGAACGAGTTGACGAGAATCCTTCCATCATAATCATATTGTTGACATGGATTAAAAGCATGCTTTTTTTAAATTTTGCAATTAAAGTGATGGGAAAAATAAGAAATAAAAACTTAGGCCTAAGTCTAAAAATAATTCAGAAATGTAGGCCTAATCTAATAAAGTATGCCTAATATTTTTAGAATTAATGTTAGCCTATTATGGCCTATAAAAGTTGCAAATCCAGAGAACTGTAAAATAATTTGGTGAGTTTATGGCTACATTAACATCATTTCTATTTATTTTCATCAAGCCTAAGTTATAACCCGATGTTTCACTTTCGTAAGACAAACATTGATTGGCTGTATACAGGAACTCTTGTGATCGATAGTTTTTTGTTTACAAAACTTTGCAGATAAAGATTTTGGATGATCATAGATACCGATGTCCGATAATAGACTCTTCCATAAAATTAAAATAGGTGTGTTGGGTTGTTAGTAGCATTATAATCTCAACTATTTTTATGGTAAAAAATTAGGGTTAGGCGTATGGTAGGACCAGGGATGGGGTTAGGGACAGGGCTAGCATTGACTACATTAGCCAGCCATGTGTGTAACTACCAGTAACATAACACCTCTTTTTTAAAGAAGATTCCATTATCAGACACCGGTATAAATATTCTACCAAGTTTTTAAATAACAATGCAAATTTAAACCCCATGACCTAGTTTTCCTTTTTTTTTCGCGTACAATGTGTACAATAAAATGTCTGCTAGCCTATCCAATAGCAGGATGCCATTGTTTATGTCACCATTACACATGAAAACCAAATATTTTTTTTTGTTTTCTTTTTAAATTTTCATTTAGTTACCAAAAATATTAAAAACATCAAATACATCCAATCTTTAGTAAAGTCCAAAAAAAACCAAACAGGATAGATTTTATAACTATAATAATTGTAACTATGCCATGTATGATTTTTAAAATATTTAATGGGCCTCTTGTATACCTTTATTATATTATAAAAGACAATGTGTGGCCATCCTTTTTCTGTTATATTTCTTCCAGTGTCGTTTAGATAAATATAATAAAAGACTGCCCATACGTACACCAGCCAGCACAACTTTTTATGTTTATATATCATATACTTTGTTTTGGATATATAATCACCACTTTAACATTTAAATATTTAATCCTCAGCAATGCAGCATGGGTGAGGCATCTGCTGATTTAGATATACCGTCTGATGAGTTAAAAGAATTTTCAAATTCTGAAGATGTGAAGCCACTTCTATCTACAGTATTTTCATCTTCTTTTGACATAAAAACAGAATTATCATTTTTAACTTCAGAGGATGTTAAAAACACTGTTATGCAAGAATTTTCATCTTCTAAAGACACAAAGCAAGAATGTACACCATTTTCATTTTTTTATGATGGAAAACACAATATGACATTTCTAACTTCTCAAGGTGTAAAAGCCGGATTTTTAATTCATGAACATACGAAACCTGCTTTATCAGCAGTGTGTACAAGATCTGAAGATGTAAAACCAGAATTAGCAATGTTATCAACTAGTGAAGATATGAAACTAAAACTAGGAACTTTATCAACCAACAAAAATATAAAACCAGAATTAACAACTTTATCAACTAGTGAAAATATAAAACCACAATTTGAAACTTTATCATCTACTGAAGATATAAATCCAGAATTAGAAACTTTATCAACCGACAAAGATATAAAACCAGATTTATGGACAAAATGTTTAGATTTTAAGGACAAACAACAAAATGAACTTGAAGAAAAGCTAAAACTCTCTGAAGACAAAACATATCTGTCTGTTGATCCTCATGATCATCATGAACAGTTTTTTCAAAGATCTAACTTGAATAAACAAGCTCAAGTAGGGGAGAAGCCACTTGAATGTGATGCTTGCCATAAAAGGTTTTCAGATAGTTCTAGGTTAAATGAACATAAAAAAGTTCATTCTAGAAATAAGCCACATGAATGTGATGTTTGTCATAAAAAGTTTTATTACACTTCTCATTTATATACACATAAAAGAGTTCATTCAGGAGATAAACCATTTGAATGTGATGTTTGTCAAAAAAAGTTTTCTAGCAATTCTCATTTAACAATACACAAAAGAGTTCATTCAGGAGATAAGCCATATGAATGTGATGATTGTCATAAAAAGTTTTCTAATAGTTCTGCTCTAAGCAGCCACAAAAAAATACATTTACTAGTTAAACATTATGAATGTGATGTTTGTCATAAAAAGTTTTCTATGAATTCGTATTTAACGGAACACAAAAGACTTCATTCAGGAGATAAACCATTTGAATGTGATGTTTGTCATAAAAGGTTTTCACACAAATCTGGTCTAAGCCACCATAAAATAGTTCATTCAGAAGATAAACCATTTGAATGTGGTGTTTGTCATAAAAAGTTCTCAGACAGTTCTAGTTTAAGTAAACATAAAAAAGTTCTGGTCTAAGCCACAATAAAATTGTTCATTCTGGTGTTAAACGATATGAATGTGATGTTTGTTATTAAAAGTTTTCTCAGTTCTAGTTTATATACACACAAAAGAAATCATTCAGGAGATAAACCATATGAATGTGATGTTTGTCATAAAAATGTTTCATCCAGTTCTAGTTTAAGTATGCACAAAGATAATCATGCTAGAGATAAATTATATAAATCTGATGTTTGTCATGAAAACTTTACGGAAAATAGCGATTAATCATATGTTAACATTATTTTAATTAATATATATTAATAATAGGATAATCTGTAAGTTCTACTTCTTGGTCACTTATATATATTTATATATATATATATATATATATATATGCAAATATTGCAAAATGTTCATTGCATAAATTTTAATGTAGTTAAAAGGTAAAAGCAGATTGTTCTTAATCCTTATATTTAAAAGCACACTTCTCTTTTGAATGTAGAAACGCAATTTTAAAATTTAATTATACAACTGGAAAAGTCTTTATAGTTGTGACAAGAACGCAATAAACAATGAGTCACATGCTACATGTTTACACTATGGAAAGAACACAACACTAATGATATCATCTTCTGATTTTAGAATATAAAGAAATGAACTACTTCATTCAAACTTGATTTAGATCTAGATTCTTAAATCTACTTTTCAAGATGTACGCTGTGAAATATATCAAAATTTCTTGGTCAAACTAAAACACATTATTTTAAACAACATAATGATCATTTGTGTTTAATGGAATCATTAAGTCTCCTAATCAGTGTATGGATTTAATATGGTGTTCTGTTGACTAATAATGTATAGCCTTTAATTTGCTTTTATTTTTCTAAAAGGTATTGGTAGCCTATGTTATTTTAAATGTATTGGAGTTTTAGCTATTTAGTTATTTATTTGCATGGTCACTAATATTGTTCAACGTGTAGTAAAGTACATTGCATTTTGACCAATAACTATTTTATACGCTATTTTTCTCAAACATGTATAATATTAAAAATATTTAGGCCTATAATTCACGGGTACCGATGGCTAGTAAATTATAATAGTAAAATTACCCATTTTTTACCATTCCTACAGCTATACATTTATAGTTGATCTTTGTCAGATTCTAATGCTTGAAACATTAACACCACATACAAGTTATAAATTAAAAGTCAAGAAGACAAAACCTGCAGTGGTTATGTTTTGACATTTTTGTATTGTATTTTTAGTATAATTTATGCTTTGTTGTGTTCAATTGTTCAAATATTGAAACACAAATAGAAAACATTTTAATCTTCAATTCATTCATAATCTGTATATATTAATTATAGGATAGCATGTTTTAGTTCTACTTCTAGGTCACTTGTCTGTATTTTGGTATTTATGCAAAAACTGCTAAATTAAAGTTCATTGCATACGTTTGATTGGAATTAAAAGGTAATAGCTGACTTTTCTTATAAATTATAATAGTAGAACTAGCCAATTTAGACCATCCTTGCAGCTAAACATTTATAGTTCAATTTTTTCTTTAGTGTCAGCCTGAGAAGTGTAAGTGGGTTCATTCCTTAAAACAACTATCAGTTTCTAATGCTTGACACTATCCCACTTTCTTTTCTATTTGCAAACAGTCACACCACATACAAGTTACAAACTAAAAGGCAATAAAGACTGTAATAGTTATAGATATTTTTGGTATCCTATTTTTAGCATATTTTACGCTGTGTTGTGTTTAATTTTATTTTCTTTATTTTTTAAAACATTTTAATGAAAATGTTACTGTAGTAAATTGCTATGGGTTGTTTCATGAAATAAAAATTGCTAACTAAATCTATCGAATTCTTTCTAGTTTTAGTGTTTTACTACCAATGTCTGTATTCTAACATTATTAATTCCAATAAGACCTCTGTGTGTTGAATGCTGGGGTTTATTTGACCCTCTTCTGATTATTGAATGCCTTAACATGCCAGGTAGTTGAGGTCAGTGTCAGACAACAAAGGCTTGCTTGGCATGTGATGTAAAGTTAACATTTGACTTTTCTAACAGTATAAATTTATAAATATTTTTCTGCAAATTATTAGTACATTTATTTTAAAATATGTTAATTGTTATACTAATTCAACTGCAAAAGAAATGTAGTGTCTTTCTAATCATGGGTACTGTAAACAATTTGAAAAAACTTATATGAATATATCCAATATCACATTTTACACTACCTTGTCACACCCTACATAGTGACATACACATGTTCATATTACTTCAACACAATTAAATTTTGATTTAATACCATTGTTGAAAATATGCAGATGTATTAACAGAGAAATTGGATATTTTTACTTTTCCTCAGCCTATAGGCTATTACATTTTCCAAGACCACTACCACATATTTTAACAATATCTTATTTGTTTTCTTAACCTATAGGCCTTTAACATAGGATCCATTATTGTAAAAAAAAAAAACAATCGGGCGACCTATATATAAACTAGCTGCATACCCGCGCTCCGCCTTGGTGAATCTTTTTTAAATGTATCAACTTGGGAACAGAACTAAACACAAAAGATAACGCAAATGCAAAAAAAAAAACAAAAAACATCACGCTTTCCTAGGCGTCCGCGCCCAGTTAGACGCTTTCCAGCATTCTCTAAAATTTCACAATCTGTTTTAATATTGACTAGACTACCCGTTATCTAGTTAGATAAGTGTGGGTTTCGGGGGTCATCCATAAATGACATCACGTCTGTCAGCACTTATCATCCCAAAATAACCAGACCCCACATTCAAAAAGACGTTTTCTATATTTTAAAAACTCTACTTCACCTGCCCAGTGCCCCGCCAAGTCTCAGAAATGTTTGTATTTAAAAAAAAAACGATTCCGGCCGAGCATGGCTCTGACCAAACTATCCCTTCATATGCTGAGACCATAGAAACAGGTGAACTCTACTTCACCTGCCCTGTGCCCCGCGAGGACCTGATAGTCAACTTTATCATTCACATATAAGCCGTAAGAAAAAATAATTGTTAACATTGTTGTAAGAAAAAATCTGTTTACTATTACTATACCTATTGTTCTAAACTTTTATAATTAATGTGGTTAATATACCAATGAATATATTAATAAATTAACGGCTTTAAATTAGTTTGTAATTAACAGTGTGTTTAAGAAAGAAAAATATTTACCACCCAAAATCCTATTTTACAGCTCTACACATAATGCAGATTCTCCCCAATAACAAATTTAAAAAAAACAGACAAACAAAAAATGAGTTATCAAACGTCACTATTCAGTCAAAGTTAAGCCATTGTTTTAAAACTTTAAAATTAATGTGGTTAATCTACCTATGAATAAATCAATAAATTAATTAACGTCTTTAAATAAATGTGTGATTAACAGTCTGTCTGCAATCAAAAATTGTTCTCTACCTACATACTATTTTACACCTCCCCATATAGAGCAGTTTCCTTGCAGTACCGAATCAAAGAAATAAATATTCAAACATGTAAACAAAGTTGAGTTTTAGTAGTATAATAGATAGATAACACCGCAAAATAAAAAATAGTGATTTTGAGAGATCACAGACTAATTAGAAAATAAAATAAACAATCCTAACATTTTTCTGTTTTAATTATGAACCGTAACATAAAATAATTAAGGCGGTAGTATTAAAACAAGTTATTAAAAGGTCTAGTGAAAATTTAAGCGCAATTTTCTTATGTTATCTAAAAACAGCTCTGTCGTAGCGTAAAGCACACACGGTGACAAAGCCAGGTCACATGAATCCTCCTCCTTCGCCTTCGTCTCGCGCAGTTCGCTGCTAAGCCAGCCCGCGCAGTTAGCTGCTAGTGATAAGCCAGCCAGGTCACATGATTTACCCTCGTCCTCCTTCGCCTTCCACTGCCGATTTTGCTATATAGTACTGTAATGTATGATGTATAATGTAATTTAAAAAAAAATAGTGACCGAACGAAAGGATATTTTTGAAAACTTTCTTCGGCAATATTGTTTTAAATTATGGCAGGAATCGATTGGTAAATGTTTTAAGTCGCTAAGTGGTCTGGTTGCCGAAATATGGGCCAAAAACTGTATTTTTTCGAGGTTTTTTGGCTTTTCCGTGAAATTCAGGAAGAAATTCCAGGAATTTTTTTGGCCCACAATCATCCTCGGAACTTGCTTAACATTTTTGCTTTGGAACTAGTCCTCGATATTGCTTCGTTGAGGAGGAGATACGACTTAAAGCTGCGGACATAAACGCAATTCTCCAGAATGGAAATTGCGCTAAAAACTACCTTAAATCATTAAGAGTTGATTTTTTTAAATTACCTCCCCTGTCAAAATTATAAAATATTTTAATTCATTAGTTTTTTCGACCCAATGTTATTAAAATGTATCCGATTTTTCAATGAAACTAAACGAAAATAGTATTTTACATTGATTCGTTTAATATATTTTAGCAATGTGCTTTTATTTAATATTTTCTGTACGTTATGCGAAAGAGTAAAAACTGTCACCTATACACAAAAAAAAACATTTCTCTAATGTTTATAATAAGACACTGTGGTGCAGTTTAAAAGTAGAGCATGGTACGATGTTTACGATGTTTACTTGGTACGATGGTTCGAAAATCTTGGCATTGACGGACTGACATACTACCTAGCCGCTTATATTATAGATATATAGCAAGTAGTTGTTAAACCATAGACACTGCTAAAAGTATATATTTTCTCTATAAATTATATAAATTTCATTTCGTTTTCGGGGGGGAGCTTGCCCCCCCCCCCCCATAGAGATGCCTGGAAGAAACTCTATATGTAGGCCTACTTGTCTTGGTATAACAAAATTAACATTCAGTTTCGTGCAGAGGGGTGGGAGGAGGGCGACGAGAAGGGGGGGGCCTTAGGATCTATATCAGGCGGCATTAAACAGAGTGATTTATTATTATTTTTTGGAAGAAAGTTAAAACTGTTGTTATGTTGTGTCACCTTAAGGATTCTCCCGTTCAATAATTAAGACAATATTGATTTTGGTTTTAAAAAATTGTATGAATTCTAAACAAATTTTGAAGTCTATACTGTTTTGATACATCAGGCCGAGTTCGCTGTATTGTAAACTTTATTTTCCTAATTATTCGGCACGTGATTAAATTTTCTTAAGTGATTTGGTATGAATTACATAACTGTTAAAAGTGATTTAATATCTTAGCAAAGGAAAAAAAAACTACGAACATTGGGTTAATACATGGGAGAGATAAAAATCTGTTATTATAGTGGAAAGTTTGACATTAGCTTATAAACTCCAAAACATTTGTGTTATTATGTGTACATCACATTATATAGGCCTTTATACATACACACACACACACATATATATATATATATATATATATATATATATATATATATATATATATATATATATATATATATATAATGGAAAGGCCCTGCGCGGATGGTTGGCCCTAGGCCCCGCGTATTCCTAACGCCGGCTCTGTCTATCGCCCCCCTTCCCCCGAAAATTTCAAGTGTCCCCCCGGAGAAAAAAGTCTGGAAGAAACACTGATCTCAATGCGTGTGGAATATTTCAGTCTTGTATGACAAAGGGTTCCAAAACCTTAGCGATTTGAATGTTGAATTTTGAGTAAAAATGCAATGTTGAGAAAACGTGAAAAGAAAGGCGGAAAAGGGCACTGTGCGTTTCCTCTTATACAAAAAAGAAAAGGACTTCTTTTTTTGTGTGGAAGAACCATTTGGCTAATAAAATACGCGTTGATTTATGTTGTAAATGTGTATGTATACAACAGGTCAGAGGCGTAGCGGGGGGGGGGGGGGAGGGGCGGGGGTGCGGACCTAAACGGGTGACACCATTTAGGGGGTGACACCAAGGCAAAAAATAGCAAAATATATAGAGAAAAATTTGAGGGGGGGTGCAAATCGAAAGTTTGAGGGGGGGGGGGGGTGCAAATCGAAAATTGAAAGTTTGTCCCCGGGAAGGATCGCTACGCCCCGGGAAGGATCGCTACCATTAAATGCCACACCGGGTGACACCCGACCTCGCTACGCCACTGCAACAGGTAATGAATTAATGACTATTAACTCTTACACATCCTATCATCAACAACTATCATCAAACCAGATCAAGTTTCGTTTGTTAGCCGGTCTTCTCACTTCAATGCAATGTCTTTCCCTACTTAAAGTGTAGCTTATACAAGTTTATTGCCTTATGATAATAGCCTACTATACAACACTGGGTACAACGTTTGAGGCTAGACACGCCCCTCCATCCCACCCCACCGCTGGATAGTGCGTGAAGAACCGATGAGCCATAGATTAACAATGTTCATTCAACCGTGAATAACACATCTGTGTAGATAGGGTCAAGTACAGGGTCTAAGTGAATGCTTATCAGCTATCCCATCTAGTATTTACATTTCTTGCTTGCAAACCCTACACGGAGAGATGGGCATACACATTAACACATGTGTTGTTTACAGTCCGATGTAAAGTCTGATCAACGCGTTCAAGCCTATCAAAGTATGCCGTAACAAGATTATAAGGTGAACGGAAAAAAAGTCACAGGAAAAAAAAAACACAGAAAAAAAGTCAGTTTTTGCTAGAAAAAAAATCACAGAAAAAAAAGTCACAGTGGAAAAATTTTATCGGAAAAACAGTCACAGAAATAAAGTCACAGAAAAAAAGTCACCAAAATCTTTTTAGAAATATTTTTATTAACTAGCCGTCCCGGCCAGGCCCTGCTCTGGCTTCTGTGAAAAACCTTTCTGTTAAAGACCGTTACCTGTGTGTTTAGTAATCATCATAAACCCGGCATTGCCCACCCAAACCACAATCAACCAAAACAACAAAACGCAAACATAACGCTAACACAATTACAAAAACAAACGAAAACAAAAACCTAACAACAAACCCAACCACAATCACAAACACCAATACAAACACAAAGAAAAAACAAACAAAAAAGCAAACGAAAACAAAAACCTAACAACAAACCCAACCACAACCACAAACACCAATACGAACATAAAGAAAAAAAAACGAAAAAGCAAACGAAAACAAACCAAATCCAAACGCAAAACCAACCACAAACACAAACCCAAAGAAAAAAACACAAACGAAAAAGCAAACGAAAACAAACCAAATCCAAACGCAAAACAGTGTTTAATAGTGTTCCATTGACAATCAATATCAACAGTACATTTCCAGGCAAAGTTTCAATTATTAAACTTAATGTTGTTGTATAACTTTAAAACAACAAATAGAAGAGTATACGCAAATGAAGTAAACAAACGTGACAGGCTGTTTTGTCTAGAAACAAGATGGCTGCTTAGCACACGTGGTTAGTTGTAACCTATCGTAGATTATTTTGATTTACTGTACTATTGTATGATTTGTCAAACGTATCAATGAATCTCTTCCCAGTCATTATTTTTACGCGCAAGCCCTTATAAGGAGTTTGATATCAAATTTTACTTGGTAGAAAACAACGTTTATCCCACTTATTTGTAAAACAAAATACTTTACGTATACTTTACGTTGCCTCGTGGGCAACAGTACACGTAACATACGCTCGAAGATAGCCGCTGTCCGCGTAGTAGTGTGAAAATTTGATGGGGGGTACCATGTTTCACATTGCAATAAACGGATTACCGTTGGCTGTAGAGGTTGGAAACGTTCAGGTTAGATAGCTAAATGATGTTACTGTCAGAATTAGCGTTAAACCCATACTAGTAGAAAAAAATTTAAACTGTCGAAACATGTGTTGTGTCTGGCCTTAATAAATTGTGGAAGTTATAATGGCCCTGGTAACCGTTATACGAGGAGCCTAGGGCCGACCATAGCGCGGGTACCAAGGTTTACCATTGATGTCTTCAACATGTAGGTACAGTAAGGCTGTATCAATTCATGGGAATAGTGTACGAATTTAGTATCCTAAGTGTTCGAAACCTTTATCTCCAATTGGGAAAAGTAGTGTTTTTTCTTCTTCTCAAAGCGAATTAATTTTATGACGACGATATAATCATATCGTTTTCCTTACATATTAGCTTCATTATCATATATCTGACCTCGACATTTACCAATTTCTAAGCCATATTTCTAGAGTACTGCTGGCAGTCAAGCTAAATGTGAGCGGGTGAATGGATTATTTTGTATTAATTTATTTGGTGCGAATCTGTGAGTGCATGGTGGTCCAATGGGGAACGGCCACGGGGTCCCCCCCTTCCGTCCGAAGCGGTCAGTATAAATTGACCGCTCGGAGGATTTTCTTCCTTTTTGACCCGCGGCGAGATGTAGGTCGGGTCAGGTTTCTGTGTTTTTGCGTGGCGCACCTCACGTGTGGAGGTATTTGCTTTTTTTTACTTTATCTTTATGTGATTTGTATGAATGCGACTGCCGATGTTTTTCGTTTTCTTTCATTTTCGTCTAAAACGAGATAGTGAGCATCGGCATGTCTGGTATGCACGTGGTGTGTTATTTTGAAAGATTTAAAATGTATTTTTTATTTTCTAAACCCGTGGCGTGTGTTTCGGACCACGTGGTTTAGGTCAGTGTGTTTAGGAGTGTTTCCTAAACTGGTGTGAATGCGTGTGTGCATTTACTTGATTGTTTTATGATGTGTTGTTATTGACTAGGATTGGCTTAGTCAATAGTCAGTTGTTTTAGACAGTAATTAGATTAGCATATTTTAGTTGCCTCGAGTTTTAGGTTGTTTAAAATTAATGTGTGTGCTGTTTCGTGCAACGTCATGTTGAGTATCGCTTGCTTTGTGTATGCCTTCATTGGGGCCTTAGCTGAGTGTGTTAACTTAATGTTATCAATATGGATGTTGTTTAGGTAGATCAATGGCTTCGGGCTTCCTTGTGTAGGAAAGATTGGTTCTACGATGAATTTGTTTACACGTTATTTTTAAGTTGCTAGTTCATGGTTAGACAGTGATTAGTTGTGTTTTTGAGAATTGCTTTTAGAATTGTATAGTAAGGATTAGTTTTACTCGAGGCTTTAGCTAGATAGAAGTAGTAGGTAGCATTTTGAACTTGTGTATATATTTATGTATATATCTGCCATTACCATGCATTTTTCTTATGTTTTCCTTTTCTTTTTCTCTTCCCCCCCCCCTTCCAGTGAGGTTGCTTGTGCAACTTGGCTGGGTGTTTTGTTATATATGAATTGTTTTGTTTGGTGTAAAAAGTTTGTTGTGTACGTATTGTTTTCTACGTAATGTATTGTACGTAACGTATTGTACTTAGTGGTTTTACGTAGTGTTTTGTTTGGTGTGGACTTTTGGATGTCGAGAATGGATGAAGGGAGGTTTCTGTGTGTCAGGGCCTGGACCATCCTAGACACCATAAGTCGGTGCAACACCAGCAAGTGGTCGAACGTAATGTTTTGTTGTATATAAACTGTTTTGTTTGGTTTTGTTTTGTCTGTTTGTGTCAGTTTTTATCTATTCTTTTTCTATGATTTTTTTATTGGTTCCATATTTTTGATAAATAAATTTTATTAACTGTTAAAGTTTTGTTTTATTTTACTAGTTTTTTTTTTATTTAGACTAAGGATACGATATAATCACCGTGGGTTTCACCACGGTTGCACTGACCCGGACAGTTAGATAGATTTTAAGGTATCCCCCCCTAGCAGGGCTTACATAAATATCTTTGCCTGTTGTGTCTTTAGCGGTACAAAAGTTCAATAAAATATTTCACAGGTTAAAAATCACAAGGTTAAACATCGACAAAGCGCACAAGCAGAAATCGTTGTTTTCTATGACTAGCATCGATTAGTTTTACTCGAGGCTTTAGCTAGATAGAAGTAGTAGGTAGCATTTTGAACTTGTGTATATATTTATGTATATATCTGCCATTACCATGCATTTTTCTTATGTTTTCCTTTTCTTTTTCTCTTCCCCCCCCCCTTCCAGTGAGGTTGCTTGTGCAACTTGGCTGGGTGTTTTGTTATATATGAATTGTTTTGTTTGGTGTAAAAAGTTTGTTGTGTACGTATTGTTTTCTACGTAATGTATTGTACGTAACGTATTGTACTTAGTGGTTTTACGTAGTGTTTTGTTTGGTGTGGACTTTTGGATGTCGAGAATGGATGAAGGGAGGTTTCTGTGTGTCAGGGCCTGGACCATCCTAGACACCATAAGTCGGTGCAACACCAGCAAGTGGTCGAACGTAATGTTTTGTTGTATATAAACTGTTTTGTTTGGTTTTGTTTTGTCTGTTTGTGTCAGTTTTTATCTATTCTTTTTCTATGATTTTTTTATTGGTTCCATATTTTTGATAAATAAATTTTATTAACTGTTAAAGTTTTGTTTTATTTTACTAGTTTTTTTTTTATTTAGACTAAGGATACGATATAATCACCGTGGGTTTCACCACGGTTGCACTGACCCGGACAGTTAGATAGATTTTAAGGTATCCCCCCCTAGCAGGGCTTACATAAATATCTTTGCCTGTTGTGTCTTTAGCGGTACAAAAGTTCAATAAAATATTTCACAGGTTAAAAATCACAAGGTTAAACATCGACAAAGCGCACAAGCAGAAATCGTTGTTTTCTATGACTAGCATCGATATTTTCTCAATGTATCGAGTTTTGTTTTCCTGTTACCAAGACGAGACGCTTTATTCCTACGTATCCGACAACTTCGACGTACGAGACAAGACTAGCATTTTTGAGGTCCGTAACTAGTACAGGTATCAAAAAAAATAAAAACTTCTACATTGTTCCGAATACAGTAGGGTATCACATTACGTGTTTTCCCAAATTTACATACCAGGCTTAAGGTTGGTGGGGTGGGGGTGGGATGGCTCAATTTTCGATTTGCACCCCCACTCAAACTTTCGATTTGCACCCTCTACCCCTCTCAAATTTCTCTCTATATATTTTACTACTTTTTGCCTTTGTGTCACCCCCCTAAATGGTGTCACCAGGTGCGGTCCGCACCCCCGCCCCCCTTCTCGCTACGCCTCTGAATGGGGGCATCTTCGCTTGTTTTTGGGCATCATAATAGCTCTGCACGCCACTAATATAAATTTCAAATTTATTCAAATTTAATTTAAATTTATTTAAATTTAATTTAAATTTATTCAAATTTATTCAAATGTATTAAAAAACGGTAACAATTGTAGGCACGAAGGCCTTTTATATTATATTATATATAATATAAATAGAGCATGGGTCACTGTATTGTATGTATGGGAGTAGGGTGTATATACATAGTCAAGACCAGTTATGTAAATATGTGTGAGCGGCTGAAGTGTTGTTATTATTATTTTATCTGTAACTTAAAAAGGCGAATGTATCCTTTTGAATTATGTCGTAAACTGTTCGTGCTTTTTACTTATGTAGTTCTGTACTATGGCGCAGCTGAATAATTGTTTTATCACTGTCTACGGCTAGTTTGTATATATTTTGTTTATATTGTTGTTAATGTTTATATTAAGTGTCTTTTTTGTATATTTCTGTCTTATGTTTCGTGGCGTGTTGCTTGTTATCTGTGAATTATGGACTATTTGTTTACGGGTAGTGTCCGAGGTGTGTGGAAATCAGTTTCCGGCAGATGTTGCTGACTGGACATTTTTGGATGTCACTCGCTGTGTGAGTGTACTTGCATGGGCTTGTGTTAAGCCAGTGATAAGGTTTATTTATACTTGACCCTGGCTGTTGGGTTAGGTGGTAAAGGGGTAATCCCTTAGTTTAGCGTCGGTTATTATTCCGGAATCGTATAGCAGTAAAAAACAGTAAAACAATGCCAAAGTCTGTCACACACTTCCGGAATTCACCGGAAGTACTGTAAACTATACTTTATTTGGTGTCATCTTTTATTTTTATACAGAATAGAATGTTTAAAATTTAGATAGATTTATTTTTGTAATCATATTTACATTTTGTAATTATTTTTACTATTTTCGTAATCTAGATTTTTTTACTTGGCCTAGGCTTTTTGATGAGAATTACAGAATGATTTTTTTATTAAAAATGTATCAATAATAGCTTGCACACTAGTAAACTAAGCCAATTTAGCATATTTTAACTTTCTGTGCAAAGTCATTATTACTGAAAAAAATTCCAAAGTCAGGTCAGCCTGTGGCACCCTCCACTGAACATGACAGAAGGAAAAAAAAACTTGACCCGTGACCTTCATTAAAACAGAATTTGCTTTTGTTTTTTTTTCATTTTTAGTAAATATGTGCTTAATCTTACCCAATAAGTGATAAAAATTTGAAAATTAATTTTAATTACTGTTGTAAAGTGAGATAAACAGCTTAATAAACACGTGTTTTCTTGAGGGGGTGTGGCACATCCCGACATCGCATTGTTTGTAACTTTATATTTGTGTTTTATGACTATATTTGTTCACAATCAGCATGCTATGCTTTTAATTTTGATAAAGGGTAAGTATACCAAGTTACAAAACCTGAAATCTAACTAATAATTCATACTTTCAGTTTAAAAAAATAATGAAAACGATCATCAATGAAGAAAGCGTAAACATTCTATTTTTAGGTGTGACATAAAAAACAGTCATAAATCTAGCCGAATGATTGGATTCTTGCGCGTCACACATTTTCCCGCGCTTCGTGTTCACCAAAAAAGATTATAATAAAATGGCATTATTATTCTTACAGAGCATATCTCATGCCTACCATAAATTATTACCAGTTTATTGTAACGTGTGTAAAATTAATGCTTTCAAGTAAAAAATAGCAATAGTCTGGTTAAAAATACCTGCGGTATTTTATAGTTATTTGATTCGAAAGATAAGAATTATATAGAGCTACTTTCACTAAGGCGCCGCTTGCGAGACAAACATAGAAATTAGGCCAAAAGTAGATCCGACAATTCTTAAATAACAGACTTAAATAGAAACGGATAGTTCCGATTTCTTAAATTAACGATGGCTTCGTAATCATTAGTTTTATCGCTCTACCCATTAGTGAAAGCGAAACTGGTCGCCATTTTTGGTAAGCGCATGAGCCGTGAGATGGCTTCAAAACAACAAACCCGGAAGCTGTGAATTCGAACGGCCTACTTGGCCTAGCAGCTAGATATCTAGCTAGATCTAGATCTAATTAATTAATGGTAGCAAATCCGCTGCAAGCAAAAAACATTAAATTATTAGCCTACATTTGACTTCATTATTTATATTTATATAAATATATGTTGTTTTTTTTTATTTTTAGATCTACTAATTTAAATCTACTATTATATTTATTCTTGTTTCCTTTTGTCGATTAAACTTAAAAAATTAAAACATTAATTTACTACAAGCGACTTTCAATTTATTTATATTTCAATGGTCAAATAAACCATGATGAGGTTTACCATAACTCTAGTTACCGAGACTCAACAAACATTACCCGATAATTTCCAACGCTAAACTAAGGGATTACCGGTAAAGGTATTTTACTTTGTTGTATCCCTTGGAATATTTAAGAATTGTCACATGTACTTTTAACCTAATTTCTTTGTCTCGCAAGTGGCGCCTAAGTGAAAATAGTTAAATAGTTCTAGAGGTAAAACTCCATTTTAGCGTATTTTATTCGCCGCTTCACGTTCACCTCCGGTTGAGCGTATTTTATTAGGGCCTAGATCTATAAACAAATCCAAAACACACAAAAATGTTAGGAAACCACTAGGATTAGTATCATTAGACTAATGATTAGCTGATAGATAATAATAGATATAGGCCTAGATCTAGATCTTAGGTTTTCTTATTAAATTTTTTAATTAAAATTGTCTGTCACTTATGATATATCATTACAAACTATATCACTTACTGGTTAATTTGAGACCAAATTTAATGGTCTAGCTTAATTAGGGGCCAAGAAAACAAGCAAAAACAAAATGACCAATTAACTTCTTAAAATGCGAAACTCTTTTTCGCCATCAAAAAAGCTCAAAAAGTTACGTTGGTTTGTGTTTTCCATTCGTAGCATGATGGCATAGCAATTACGACAACATTGGGTATTTTAGTTACCAAAAAAAATCAAAATATTTTGTTGGAAATAAAACTTTATATTCATTATGTTTATTAAAGAAATATCAGACATATTTATTTTAAATTCTATGTATAATGTACAATTTAAGACATTAGGCCTTCCATGATGAATTGAACAATCAATACCCATGAAGATGATAATAAAATTAATATCCAAAACTAAAAATAGATCTGACAGAAATCTAGATCTAGGCATTCTAACTGTAAAGACAATACAGTATTAGGTAAGATGATAAATCAACTTTTTTTAAAACTTTAAAATAAATACTCTATAATTATTTTTCTCTTCTGTAGTAGCATTAGGTTAGGCGAAGTTTTTTTTTTTTTAACCAGCTATGCGTAGTAAATCTATAGTCCTGTAAGTTTGCATGAACTTAAAATGACCCTAAGTTGTTTTACGATTTGCTTGGTTTATGAGGGGAGGGGTGGGTTTGCCCACCGACGATCTCTAACAGCAATAGTTAATGCTGTGACGTATGTATGGTAGGCCTGCTGAACTCACGGTGAACCCTCGACCGTGTCAACATTTTTCTCCCGCAGACAAGAAAATGTAAGCAGTCGATCTCGCGAGCGATGCGAGTGACGATGTTTGGAAAATCTTGAATAATTATTTTATAAAATATTATTTCGATCAAAAAATATTTTAAAAAAAGAAAGAAAATAAATCCGCTCGTGGCATTTCCAATGTGAAACAATAAAATAAAGCACAACTGATTTACTTCGGATTCGAACTCGGAGATTCTAGGTCACCTACCGCACCGTTCTGTTTACTCTGCCACACACCACGATGTATTGGAAAATAAAATATTAGACATTTTGTATCAATAGATTTCTAAAAGGAAATAAATACTACTTTATTTATTGATATCGTACTACGTAGTAACTGAGTAACTGCGTAAATTTTACACACAATTCCTATATGTTTAACTAACACAACAGCATTAACGAGGTTGACCAAGTCTAAAAATTTAAAAAAATTGCCAGTAGGCCTAATTAGATTTAGCACAAAAAAGGCTCGGAATGAGCATTGTTTAAAATACAATACTAAGGCCTAATTAAAAACTACATATAATTTCATATAAATTATGCAGTCGGGTAGGCCACGAAGTATTTAGATGTAGTATTTACAAGGTTAACGACCGGTCACGAATTATGTTCAATAAAACTAACAGTACAGTCGGCCTACTTGGCTTGCAGTGAAGAAAAAAAATCAATATACTTATAAAATTACTAATACTTTAATACAATAATAATGTCCACAATTTCTACACACGCTACAACTGAATTATAATTAAAATACTAGACTTAACAGTGCATTCCGCAAAAAACAAAAATTAGTTGTTTCTATCTGACAACTAGCGTAACAATGACGTAACGTTACTAAAAATAGCAGAGGCATGGTATTTCTATGGTGAATTGGATTTTGGAAAGGGGAACCATCATCAATGTAATTAATCATGGTAAATATCTCAAATATATATTTATCTAGGAGCTGTCGAGCGCTGATGCCCGGTGGTCGGTCGTTTTTCGTTGCAGTTCAGTTCCTAATGAGAGTGCTCCATAAGAAATGCTTGTATTAATTATTACTACATATCTCGCAAATGTTTCTGGCATTTAAGCCATAGTATCCATTTCCTTAGCATTTCGCATTAAAATAGTGATGAGATATTGCTAGATTAGCAGTTTTTTCATTTTTGTATATAGGACCCCCCCAAAAACACTTAAAATGCGAAAACTAAAAGAGCATGACGTTTCAGGGTCAGGTTCTGACTTCCGGTTTTGGTAAGGAGATCGACTACTAGATCTAGATCTATTTATTTGTTATGAATGTTTTAATTCGAAAAAGTAAAAAATTATTATTAATTATCATTACAGCGGCAATTAAATAGCGTGTGATTGTTGGCATGAGAAAAATCCCTACATGTTCAAGTGTTCACCGTGCGTTCACTTTGACTTTAATATACAGCATACGTCATAGCTTAGAGTCATTGTGAGTTCATGTAAGTTAATTTATAGTATCATGCCTTGCTATTATGCGTTTCTACTTTACCCATTGCCAGGAAAATCTTAACTGACACGAACACATATTCAAGAAAAAAAAAGTTAAATCTAGATCTAATTAAATAGTACACATTCAATATTCCAAATTTTAAATTTTTCTCAAGTTTTGACAAAATTAATTTAAAAAACTAAACTAAAGATTCATAAAAATAGGCCTAGTGATCTCCTAACATTTTTGTATGTTGCGGTTGTGTTTATAATAAAATACGCTCAACTGGAGGGTCTGGAGGTGAACGTGAATTGGGGGAATAAAATACGCTAAAATGGAGTTTTACTGTTCTAGATCTAGATCTATGTTCCATATTCTATGGAAAATAACGCTTCCATAGCAAACCAGACTATGTGCATATAAAACTTGAAAGTGAAAGCATCAATTTTGATAAATGCTTTTTCTCATTTGTCCTAAGGCCTACCAGTTTTAGATTTAATTTCATTATCCTCCTCTTCCTCTAATAGTAAACATTTGAGATTATCGTTTTCTACTTCTAATTCATTAATTGTTTTTATATGTTTTCTAACAGCTGACTTTAATTCTCTAATTTCTTGATCTTTTTGTTTAATTTTTTGCTTATCAATAAACTTTTTGCTTTCAATTTAGTTAAATTTAAAATGGTTCTTTTGTAAAGTTATTCTCATTTCTGCTAAAATTGTAACTAACAGGTTCAAACTTACCTAATTTTTTACTTGAAGCTTTCTTTGTATAAAAAAAAATTATGTCATTGCAGTGCTAATAGAAATGACAGGAAATAGTACTTTAAAAAAAAAAAAAATTTTTTACTGTGAGATTTTGGGGGTAGATTGTCTGCCCCTGTCAGAAAAAACTGCATACTAGTTTATGGATGTATAGAATAGGTTGAATTATGAAATTTTAAAATCAAATATTCTGTTATTTCGCATATACCATGACATTTAACAGACCATTAGAGTCCACATTTAATTATCTAGCTTGCTCAGATGCCAAAACAAATAAAGGATTTAAAAATTATCAATGCAGCTACTGTCGGCCAACAGTGAAGAAAAAAATCAATATACTAAAAAAAATTACTAATACAATAATAACACCCATAATTTTAATTTTTCTGCACATGCTACAATTGAATTATAATTAAAATACTAGACTTAAGATTTCATTCCGCAAAAAACAAAAACTAGTTGTTTCTGTCAGGCAACTATCGTAACAATGATGTAACGATACAAAATATAGCGGATAGAAATGTCAGTGTGGATACCGCATCTTTGAGTAAGATTTTGGTAAAAGGAATCAATAATACTGTAGATATACATGGCTCACATATCAACTATATATTAATTTAGAGTTTAGGCAACGAGCCGGACTATTATATAACCTTATTTACATTTTAATTAATTTTTGTCAGGATTTTTCCTCTTTCTAGGAAGGTAGTCAGAAATTGTGTGTTTTGTTCCTTTGAGTTCTGTTTTGTTTTGTAGAGTTTTGTTTTGGAGGTGTAGCTTATCTAGATCTATACCTTTTAATTTAAGTTGTTTGGTTCCACCTTTTTTTGTAAAATTAATTCTATAAATTAAGGTTATATTTTTAGTAGCTTACAACATATGGTGCAATATTATATTCAAAGCTAATAGTTTTTAATAATGTTGATTCATTTCTAAGATATTTTAATATCTTTCTGTACAGTTTTATTGAAAAAACTTTGTCTTGACTGTAGTCACTAGATTTATATAATCACCACTTTAACATTAAAAAATTTAATCCCCAGTTCAATTATAAGAAGCAGTGCAACATGGAAGAGGCAGATGTACAGTCAGTTGAATTAACAGAATTTTCAAATTCTGAAGATGTGAAGCCAGATCTATCTGCAGTGTTTTCATCTTCTGCTGACATAAAAACAGAATTATCAAAATTTTTGACTTTCCATGATATGAAACCAAACAAGACGTTTATAACTTCACAAGACGTTGAAACTGATGTTATGCTAGATGTTTCGTCTTCTCAAGACATTAGTGCAGAATGTACATTATCATCTTTTGATGATGTAAAACATAATATGACATTTCTAACTTCTCAAAATGTAACAACAGGATTTTTAAATTTTAAAGATGTGGAACCTGCTGTATCAGCAATTTTATCAACCAGTGAAGATATAAAACCAGAATTAGAAACTTTATCATGTACTGAAGATATAAATCCAGAATTAGAAACTTTATCAACCAAAAAAGATATAAAACCAGATTTATGGACACAATTTTTAGATTCTGAGGACAAACAACAAAATGGACTTGAAGAAAAGCTAACACTCTCTGAAGATGAAACATATCTCTCTGTTTATCCTCATGTTCGTCATGAACAGTTTTTTCAAAGATCTAACTTGAATAAACAAGCTCAAGTAGGGGAGAAGCCACTTGAATGTGATGCTTGCCATAAAAGGTTTTCAGATAATTCTAGGTTAAATGAACATAAAAAAATTCATTCTGGAGATAAGCCACATGAATGTGATGTTTGTCATAAAAAGTTTTCTATCAATTACTATTTAACAAAACACAAAAGAGTTCATTCAGGAGATAAACCATTTGAATGTGATGTTTGTCATAAAACGTTTTTGACCAATTCTCATTTAAAAACACACAAACGAGTTCATTCAGGAGATAAACCATATGAATGTGATGTTTGCCATAAAAAGTTTTTTAGCAATTCTCATTTAACAACACACAAACGAGTTCATTCAGGGGATACGCCGTATGAATGTGATGTTTGTGATAAAAAGTTTTCCTTCAGTTCTAGCTTGATGGAACACAAAAGACTTCATTCAGGAGATAAACCATTTGAATGTGATACTTGTGATAAAAGGTTTTCAAACAAATCTGGTCTAAGCCACCATAAAATTGTTCATTCTGGTGTTAAGCGATATGAATGTGGTGTTTGTCATAAAAAGTTTTCTCGCAATTCGGTTTTAACAAGACACAAACTAGTTCATTCAGGAGATAAACCATATGAATGTGATGTTTGTCATAAAAGGTTTTCTTGTTATTCTGTTTTAACAGGACACAAACGAGTTCATTCAGGAGATAAATCATATGAATGTGATTTCTGTCACAAATGGTTTTCACGGAATTGTGATTTAACAAAACACAAAAGAATTCATTCAGGAGATAAACTATTTGAATCTGATGTTTGTCATAAAAAGTTTTCTATCAAATTTAATTTTACAAAACACAGAGTTCATTCTGGAGATAGGCCACATGAATGTGATGATTGTCATATAAATTTATCAGAAAGTTCTACTCTAAACAAGCACAAAAAAGTTTATTTAGAAGTTAAGCCTTTTGAATGTGTTTTTTGTCAGAAAAGGTTTTCAGACCGTTCTAACTTTAATAAACACAAAAGAGTTCATTCTGGAGATAAGCCATATGAATGTGATGTCTGTCTGAAAACGTTTTCATATAGTAATACGTTAAGTAGACACAAAAGAATTCATTCAGGAGATAAGCCACATGAAGGTGATGAAAAGTTTTCAGACAATTCTACTCTAAACAAGCACAAGGAAATTCATTTAGAAGTTAAGCCATTTGAATTTGTTTTTTTCCCGAAAAGGTTTTCAGACAGTTCTAATTTAAATACACACAAGATAATTCATGCAGGAATTAAGCCATATGAATGTGATCTTTGTCATAAAAGGTTTTCTGGCAATTCTAATTTAATGAAACACAAAAGGGTTCATACAGGAAATAAGCCATATGAATGTTATGTTTGTCATAAAAGGTTTTTAGACAGTTCTACTCTAAGAAAACATAAAATTGTTCATTCTGGTGTAAAGCCATATAAATGTGATGTTTGTCATAAAGGGTTTAGTAGTAATCGTAGTTTAATAACACACCAACCAGTTCATTCAGGAGATAAGCCATATGAATGTGATGTTTGTCTCAAAAAATTTTCTTATAGTTATAATTTTCATTTACATAAAAGAGTTCATTCAGGCAATAAACCATATGATTGTAATGTTTGTCAAAAAAAGTTTTCAGACAGTTCTTCTCTGGGCAAACACAAAAATATTAATTTAGTAGTTAAGCCTTATGAATGTGATCTTTGTCTTAAAAGTTTTTCACATAGTGTTAATTTGAATAGACACAAGATAATTCATGCAGGTATTAAGCCTTATGAATGCGATCTTTGTCATAAAAGGTTTTCACGTAGTGTTAATTTAAATAGACACAGAAGCGTTCATTCTGGAGATAAGCCACATGAATGTGATGTTTGTCATAAAAAGTTTTCAGACAGTTCTACTCTAAACAAGCACAAAATAATTCATTTAGAAGTTAAGCCTTTTGAATGTGTTTTTTGTCAGAAAAGGTTTTCAGACAGTTCTAATTTGAATACACACAAGATGATTCATGTAGGAATTAAGCCATTTGAATGTGATCTTTGTCATAAAAGGTTTTCAGATGGTTCTAATTTTAATAAACACAAAAGAGTTCATTCAGGAGATAAGCCATATGAATGTGATGTTTGTCTTAAAAGGTTTTCACAGAGTCCTATGTTAAGTAAACATAAAAATGTTCATTCTGGAGATAAGCCACATGAATGTGAGGTTTGTCATAAAAAGTTTTCTGACATTTATATTCTAAATAGACACAAAAATATTCATTTAGGAGTTAAGCCTTATGAATGTGATCTTTGTCATAAAATGTTTTCAGACAGGTGTAGTTTAAATACACACAAGATAATTCATGCAGGAATTAAGCCATTTGAATGTGATCTTTGTCATAAAAGGTTTTCAGATGGTTCTAATTTAAATAGACACAAAAAAATTCATGCAGGAACTAAGCCATATGAATGTGATATTTGTTATAAAAAGGTTTCATCCATTTCTGGTTTAAGTAGGCACAAAGAAATTCATACTAGAGATACATTTTACAAATCCGATGTTTGTCATGAAAACTTTACAGAGAAGTGTGATTAATAATCTTTACATTATTTAAATTGTTGAAGCATCTATTCACAATATGTATATTTTAATAATAGGATAATATTTAAGTTCTACTTCTAGGTCACTTATATATTTATGTATATATGCAAATATTGCAAAATGTTCATTGCATAAATTTGAATGTAGTTAAAAGATAAAAGCAGATTGTTCTTAACCCTAATATCTAAAAGCCCATGTCTCTCTGTCTCTGTCCGCCCGCAAAATATTTTCACATGCTATGATATCAGTATCTTCAGCGATGTATGGAGAACTGGATAAGGACTTTTGTTGAAAATATGTTACATGTTTTAAATGTATAATCTAGATTTTATTTAAAGATGAAAAATAAAGGCATATTAGAATGTAGAAACACAATTTTAATTATACAACCGGAAAAGTGTTTATAGTTGTGACAAGAACGAATTAAACAATGACGTCACATGTATCATCATCATCATTCCTTTGTGGCCCCTGGGGAGAAAAGGGCTGAAACCACACATCTCGAGCAGACTCGGTTTTGGGCTGCCCCCTTTATCTGAGCTCATGTGAGCCCAGCTGTTTGCGCCTCTTCTTCAACTGCTTCTCCATGTCTTTCTTGGCCTGCCCACCCTCCTTTTTCCCTCGATTCCAGTCCAAAGCATGTTTTGCGGTGTTTTCTTATGTGTGTCCGATCCATCCCCATTTACGGGCCTCAATATCTGTCTATATTGGCTGTTGCTTTAAAGTTCACGACAGGTCTTTGTTTGATATTTTGTCTGGCCACCTTTTTAAGTATATGTCATAAGCCTGTAGCTTATCAGTATTTATCTTCGTAACCCTCCAAGTCAAGTCTCTGAGCTATAGAGCAGCACTCCCTGGACAATTGTGTTGAAAATCCCAGTTTTGCTCCGGAGAGGCAGGGCCTTGGACCTCCACATTGGGCGCAGTGAGATGAAGGCACATCTAACCTTGTTGATACAACATTTTATGTCCTCGTCTGCTCCCCCGTCCTTATTGATCACGCTTCCCAGATATGTGTTTGTTTCATGTAAATCTTCTCCATTTAGCTGTATAGGCAGGTCCTGGCTGTTATTGATTCTGATGACCTCTGTTTTATTTTTATTGATTTTTATTCCAACTTTGGAGGCTTCTTCAGATAGCCGATTTAGTTTGGCTTGCGTATGTTGATGCTTGTGAGATAGTAGGCAGATGTCATAGCATAGATCCCTGTCTTACTCCCGTCACCGTGAATGGTTTTGTTAGTTTTCCCTTGTGTATTACCTGACTGGTGGAGTCTTCGTATAGTTTCTGTGTGATAGATATAAATTTTTTGGGTATTCCATAGTGGCTCATTATCTTCCAGATAACATCTCTATTCACACTGTCAAACGCCTTTTCGAAGTTGACAAAAATCATTTATAAGGGGGGTTGCCACTCAAAGGACTGTTCAATAATGATGCACAGTGTGGCAATTTGGTCAGTACATGACCTGTCTTGACGAAAACCCGCTTGTTCTTGTCTCAGCTTTTTGTCCAAGGCATCTCTAAGTCTCTCTAGGATGATTCTTGTCAGCACCTTACTTGGGAAAGAAGCATTATCCCTCTCCAGTTGTTGCATTGTGACAGGTCTCTCTTCTTCCTAAATCTGCTTAAGTAGAGGATGTAGTATGTATTCTGATATGGCTGGGTCTGCTTTTTGTGCCTCTGGTGGGATGCTGTCCGGGCCAGCTGCTTTGCCGTTTTTCATGTTCTTTATTGCTCTTATTGTTTCTAACTTTGTGGGTAGATCTGTACACACATTTAGTAGGTGGTTTGCAGGTGGTATATCAGGGATGTTTGATGAGAGAGGATGGTTTAAAATCTCATCAAAGTGCTGTACCCATCTGTCTCTCTGTTACTGGGTCCTGGTTACTTCATAGGCCACATGTTTACACTATGGAAAAAAACAACACTAATGTCATCTTCAGATTTTAGAATTTTAAGAAATGAACTATTTCATTCAAATTTGATTTAGATCTAGATTCTATAAATCTACGTATCAAGATGGACACTATGAAATATATAAAATTTTCTGTCACACTTATACAAATTACTATAAAAAACAAAGCTGGGTTTTTAACGGAATCCTTTAAGTCTCTTATTCAGTTTGTGGATTTAATATTGTGTTCTGTTGACTAATGTAAAGCCTTTAATTTGGTTTTAATTTTTCTAGTAGGTATTGGTAGCCTATGTTATTTTAAATGTGTCAGATTTTTAGCTATTTAGTTATTTCTTTGCATGGTCACAAATATTGTTCAACGTATAGTAAAGCACATTGCGTTTTGACCAATAACTATTTTTTACAATATTTTTCTCAAACATGTATAACGTTAAAAATATATAGGCCTATAATTCATGTGTAGCGGGTACTGACGGCTAGTAAATTTTAATATTGAAATTACCCATTTTTTACCATCCCTGCTGCTAAACATTTATCGTTTCTAATGCTTGAACCAATAACACCACATACAAGTTATAAATTAAAAGTCAAGAAGACAAAACTTGCAGTGGTTATGTTTTGACATTTTGGTATTGTATTTTTATCATAATTTATGCTTTGTTGTGTTCAGTACATTGCATTTTGACCAATAACTATTTTATACGCTATTTTTCTCAAACATGTATAATATGAAAAAGATATAGGCCTATAATTCACGGGTACCGATGGCTAGTAAATTATAATAGTGAAATTATCCATTTTTGACCATCCTTGTGGCTGAACATTTATAGTTGATCTTTTTCTTTGGTCTCAGCAAAGTGGGGTCATTCCCTAACACAAATATCAGTTTCTAATGCTTGAACCAATAACACAACTACTAGTTATAAATTAAAAGTCAAGAAGACAAAACCTGCAGTGGTTATGTTTTGACATTTTTGTATTGTATTTTTAGTATAATTTATGCTTTGTTGTGTTCAAATGTTCAAATATTGAAACACAAATAGAAAACATTCTAATCTTCAATTAATTCATAATCTGTATACATTAATTATAGGATAGCATGTTTTAGTTCTACTTCTAGGTCACTTGTTTGTATTTTGGTATTCATGCAAAAACCGCTAAATTAAAGTTCATTGCATATGTTTGATTGAAATTAAAAGGTAATAGCTGACTTTTCTTAGTAAATTATAATAGTAGAACTAGCCAATTTAGACCATCCTTGCAGCTAAACATTTATAGTTCAATTTTTTTCTTTAGTGTCAGCCTGAGAAGTGTAAGTGGGTTCATTCCTTAAAACAACTATCAGTTTCTAATGCTTGACACTATCCCACTTTCTTTTCTATTTGCAAACAGTCACACCACATACAAATTACAACTTAAAAGGCACTAAAGCTGTAATGGTTATGGATATTTTTGGTATCTTATTTTTAGCATATTTTATGCTTTTTTTGTGTTTAATTTTGTTTTCTTTATTTTTTTAAACATTTTAATGAAAATGTTACTGTAGTAAATTGCTATGGGTTGTTTCATAAAATAAAAATTGCTAACTAAATCTATCAAATTCTTTCTAGTTTTAGTGTTTAACTACCAATGTCTGTATTCTAACATTATTAATTCCAATAAGACCACTGTGTGTTGAATGCTGGGGTTAATTTGACCCTCTTCTGATTATTTAAATTTAATGCCTTAACATGCCAGGTAGTTGAGGTCAGTGTCAGACAACAAAGGCTTGCTTGGCATGTCATGTAAAGTTAACATTTGACTTTTCTAACAATATAAATGTATAAATATTTTTCTGCAAATTATTAGTACATTTATTTAAAAAATATGTTAATTGTCATACTAATTCAACTTCATAAAGAAATGTAGTGTCTTTCTAATCATGGGTACTGTAAACCATTTGAAAAAACTTATATGAATATATCCAATATCACATTTTACACTACCTTGTTACACCCTACATAGTGACATACACAAGTTCATATTACTTCAACACAATTAAATTTTGATTTAATACCATTGTTGAAAATATGCAGATGTATCTAATATATAAAGCTCAGTTCTGTATGTAATGCATGTTTGTCGTTGGAATTGTATGAATTTAAGTGTTAGAAAATTATCGTGCGCATTTGTCTAAATTTATGAGCTAAAAAATTACTATTGAAAGTGTTGGGAAATCATTTTCATTTTTCAAATTATAGTAATAATTGTCGGCATGTTCATTAAACACAAGTTTTAAAAAAAATATCATCTTTTACAAAAATTTTAATTATGTCTTTATTTAGTCCTATAGCACTTACTTCCCTTTGATAAATTAGGAAAACACAATTACTTCCCTTTATAAAACCATTGCATTTTGTGGAAAAGTATTTACTTTTTAATTACTTTGTTTTGGTGTTGGGAAAAAAAAATAATTACATAATTAGCGAGGATTGATCAAGTGCAAATATTGTAGGTATTTTACGGATAAGCTTGGAGTATTATAATTGTTCATCAAATTGAAACAGGCGCGTTCGTTTAAGTGAGTGCAAAAGACTATGAATAAGTTGGGGTACTATCGTCGTTCATTAAGCTAAAACAGGTGATTCCGCCCCGGGGCGTTTATGTTCGCGTTAGTGTTTTCTTTGTGTTTAGGTGGGTTTGCGTTAGTGGTTGCGTTTTGATTTGGTTCGTTTTTGTTCTTTCTTTTTTCGTTTTTGTTTGTGTTTTTTTCTTTGGGTTTGTATTTGTGTTTTTGGTTGGTTTCGCGTTTGGATTTGGCTTGTTTTCGTTTGCTTTTTCGTTGTTTTTTTTTTTTTTTTTTGTTGGTATTGGTGTTTGTGGTTGGGTTTGTTGTTAGTTTTTTGTTTTCGTTTGCTTTTTTGTTTGTTTTTTCTTTGTGTTTGTATTGGTGTTTGTGGTTGTGGTTGGGTTTGTTGTTAGGTTTTTGTATTTGTAATTGTGTTAGCGTTATGTTTGCGTTTTGTTGTTTTGGTAGGTTGTGGTTTGGGTGGGCAATGCCGGGTTTATGATGATTACTAGACACACAGGTAATGGTCTTTAACAGAAAGGTTTTTCACAGAAGCCAGAGCAGGGCCTGGCCGGGACGGCTAGTTAACAGATAAATTAGATATTTTTACTTTTCCTCAGCCTATAGGCTATTACATTTTCCAAGACCACTACCACATATTTTAACAATATCTTATTTGTTTGCTTAACCTATAGGCCTTTAACATAGGATCCATTATTGTAAAAAAAAAAACCGGGCGACCTATATATAAATTAATAAACTAGCTGCATACCCGCGCTCTGCCTTGGTGAATCTTTTTTAAATGTATCAACTTGGGAACAGAAAAAAAACTAAACACAAACACAAAAGAAAACACAAACACAGTGCAAATGCACAAAAAAAAAAAAAAACATCACGCTTTCCTAGGCGTCCGCGCCCAGTGAGACCCTTTCCAGCATTCTCTAAAATTTCACAATCTGTTTTAATATTGATAACACCGAAAAAAATTTAAAATAAAATAAACAATCTTAACATTTTTCTGTTCTAATTATGAACCGTAACATAAAATAATTAAGGCGGTAGTATAAAAAAAAAAAACTACCTTAAATTATTGAGAGTTGATTATTTTAAATTACCTCCCCTGTCAAAATTTTAACATGTTTTAATTCATTAGTTTTTTTCGACCCTAATGTTATTAAAATGTATCCAATTTTTCAATGAATCTAAACGAAAATAGTATTTCACATTGATTCGTTTAATATATTCTAGCAATGTGCTTTTAATATTTTTTCTGTACGTTATGCGGAAGAATAAAAACTGTCGCATATACACAAAAAAAACTTTCTCTAATGTTTATAATAAGACAATGTAGTGCATTTGAAAAGTAGAGAATAGTACGATGTTAACTTGGTACGATGGTTCCAAAATCTATAGCGATGACGGACTGACATACTATCTAGCCTCTTATATTATAGATATATGGCAAGTATAAGGCCTATATTTAAATATATTCTAGCTCTAGCCGTCTCAGCCAGGCAATGCACTGGTCTTTGTGAAAAACCTAACTGTAAAGAATCATGACTTGTGAGTTTAGTAATCAGCTTATACCCGGCATTGCCGGGATTAGGAAATATATTACTTTTCTAATTAACCCTAACCGCAACAACCACAATCAAAAATGCAAACATAACACAAACGTAAACACAAATATAAAGGAAAACACAAACGCAAACAAAAAAGCAAACGAAAACAAATCAACATCCAAACAAAAACCCAACCACAAACAAAAACCCAACCACAAACAAACGCCCACATTGAGTATAACATTATAGAAGTCATACATTTAAAGCCTTAGGGGCCAACAGACGTCACGCTTTTTTGGACGAATTTTACGTACCCCCCCCCCCTCTCCTCCATCACACATCGTCACAAAAAGCCAGACCCCCCCCCCCCCCATAAAGAAACGTCACACCTTAGCCAACAACCCTCCCCCCCCCCCCTCGAAATTCCATTTGAATTTTTCTTAAAACATCGATATTTTTCGAAAATCTTTTCTGAACTCTTCCAAAATAGAGTATTTAATCAATTCCTATAACACTTTATTGAAGCAGTTTTCTAAAACGCGAAAAAAAAACGGCTAAAACTCGTTTTCTAACATTTCTTTTTAAAATTCGAAAATGTGACGTTACGCCATCTAAGCCGGGATTGATTAAGTGCAATGTTATTGGTATTTTTAATACTGCCTTTTATTTATTCCATACACTGAATGTACTGTTTTCTTCTGATTATTTTTAATTAATAACAGTTAATTATAATTGTTCACTAAATTGAAACAGGCGCGTCCGCCGGCGCCCCATCGGGGTTCGATTTTGCGCCCTGGGATAACCTGTGAGCGCTATGGATAAGAAAGGTTATTATAGTCTTTAAGTGAATCGAATCCGTGCGTCCTCTGGCGCCCAGACAGGGTGCTATTTGGGCCCCCGGGCCTCCCGTGTTCGGTTTGGCGCCTACGTTCGTTTAAGTGAGTGCAAAGACTATGAATAAGTTGGGGTAATATAGTCGTTTATTAAGCTGATGTGACCTACTTAGGTCGAGTCATTTTTATTTTGACATTGTATAATTCCTTATATGGAATGATGGTGTAACACCTGGGGTTTTTCCACTGACTTATTAAGGTGTTTGAGACATAGAAATTTTCCATTAAAATCTGATTGAATGATTCTGATCAGATGATTATCCCAACCAATGGCGACATGAGTTGAGGATAACCTCCCCTGTCACAGAAGTCTTTAATTGCACTGCACACGCGCAACACGAGGCAGTTTATCTTGACCTGGCAGTCTACGAGGCAGTTTTATCTTGATCAGGCAGCCGTCCATATTGTCCGGCTATAGACTCTGACCATTTGAACGTGAGAGTACTTAAGACCTGTGTGTGCCTTGCTTTCTTAAGTGATTTAGTCTTCTAGTTTAATATTACTTGTCGATAAGTAATTCCTGAAGCTACA